CCTGCCTTTTTGCGAGTGAATCTTGATATGTAGCACGGAACTTTGTAAGTGGCCCTGCTGGCCTTGAACTCACAATCCTCCTCTCGCCTTCAAGAGTGTTAGAATTGCAGGCACTTGATGCCAGGCTCTGTGCTGTACTGACCCACGGTCTTTTGCTTGATCCTCTGGCTCAGTTGGGGAATTGCGGTCTGAACCCAGTCTGGAAGGGTTGAGCCATGAGGATGTTCACATGGGGTAGTCTGTTAGTCTGCTTCTTGAGTAGCTTTATTATCTAGTTTGAATTATTGTAATTTACTGAAGGTAGAGAAGCTTACAATTAATTCAGTCTTTCAAATGCTTTTTAATTTGATACAAGTAACTTAGCGTTTTGGTCTAAGGTAACATACCAATTTTGTTATTTGCTGTTTAGACAATAAAGTTACGCTGAAGGTGTGAATTTTATGCATCATAAATATTTGTGGTTTTTTTTAAAGGGATGGGCTGAGTTTTTGTTATTAGTGGCTCTTCTGTGGTAAAGCCTTACTTGTCTTGAACTGTCCATGAGCCTCCTGCCTCAGCCTCTTGAGGCTAGGGGAGCAGGGTGCACCATGAGATCTCTGTCCATTTATTAAACCTAATTATGTCATTATCAGGACATCTGAAAAGTTAACAATGGTTTTCTAAAACTATCAAATGTGTAGTCAGCATTCAGATTGCCCAAGTGCCTCAAAGCTATTTTCATGAGAGTGTTTATTGTACTTACCTTGTTTAAAATTCTGTTCTATGACCTTATTGATATGACGTTCTCTAGTAGGGGAGGTCTGAAAGCCTTCAGATATTTATTAGTGTTAGTGATAGGAAGATACATTTGAAATGTAGATGTAAAAAGTAATGAAAAACAGAGGAGCTAGATTTATTCATAAGGTGGCTCTATGTGCTTGAAGCCCACGAAAAGCATTTGAACCCAAATGAATGATAAAGCTAATTGTGGCATAGGAAAAAGAGTTGTTCCCTTTGAATAAGTCCTTGTGGGATTTAGTTACTGTCTATACCTCGTATATGGTGCCAGTCATAACTTAGAAGCCACGACTCGATTTTGCTTAAGTGTTTTTTAAACATGTGAACTACAAAGGCACAGGCCTGGTTACCTTAGCTGAACTGCTGAAAATCTTGATCGCTCAGAGTCCGTCCTAAAACAATGGCTTCTTGGACATCCAGACCCACAGTGGTTAGAAATCAGTAACTCATAAAAGAAAGGGTTGTTTTTTCTAGCGTTTTGTTTGTAGAAGGGGGAATGCGAACTTGTACGGGAAGACATTTTCTCCTCTCTGGGAAGACACAGTGGGCGCTGGGGCCGGAAAGCCAGCTGTGTCTCCCTGCCGCCCCCTCCCTGCTTAGGCTCTCCCTTGTCTCCTCTCTGCCTAAGCTGTTTAACAGTCCTGTGCTCTCCACACCCACCTTCCTGCGCCCACCCTCCCTCACACACTGGAGGCTTCAAGACCTCATAAGGGTGGTTAAATGCCATCTTCCACAATGAGTACACTGGGATTCTTTCCTGGAAGAGAAAGCTTTTCGTAAAATGTATTGTTATCAAGTTAGCAAAACATGCCCTTTTGTGTGGTAATGTCTAGGTTTGCTTTTGCCTGTGCTGTGGTGTTAAGTGTCTGTTAGGTTGGCATCACACTGAGGCAGGAGAAAATCAAACTGGCTTTGGTTGCCATTAGTATACACTTGACTGAAATACAGAATGAAAGGCAAGATTCCTTTTCATTGAGTGATAAGGGCAAACTCCAGGAAGTGGCATGCTGTTTGGAGCATGAGGGATGGGTGATATTTGAAAATAGGAAGATGACTAGAGGCCGTTCCAGATGGAGAGGACACTGTGAACAGAGGAAGGGAAGAGAATGCTGGACAAGTGGCAGCAGATGACTCACTTGGCTGAAGCCTGGTGTGCCAAGAGGTGGTAAGAAGGAAAGGCAGATCGGGAGGCCATACATAGACCCTTAACATGGTGTAAATGTTCTTATTTCAGATCCTCTCTGTGAGTTTCTAAAATGGATTGTCAGGGAAGTGGGGCGGTGGTCACCATTACCCCTTTATTGTCTGTCTTGGAGGGTCACAAAATAAGGCAATCTCCCACTTAGAAACAGTGTACGGCCATGGTGGCTCACCCCCCTGTCAGTGCGCCGGGGCAGGTAATGAGGAAATCTGGGCTACACAGTGAGATTGTCTTCTGGAAAAAAGAAAAAAAAAAAAGTATTTATAAAGGGAGATAGGCTATTGTAAGAATTGATCTCATTAATGCCTGTTTAGAGAGTTTATCTAAATTTAGGAAGATGAAACAATTTTAGACAGAAAACTTGGAGTTCAGTAAAAAATGTTTTTCCTAGGCATCCTCGTACAGGTATGCAGGGTACTGGCCGTTGCCAATGCTCAGGCACTGTTCCACTTTGACCAACACCAGCAAAGCTTTTTGTCACGCAAAGACCCAGTTGAGACAGGAACAGTAGTCAGGTCTTAGCCTCCTCCACCCCAGGAGAGCTGGCCGTCTCTGACGCTGAGGACCTTCTGCACTGCACTGGGAAGGAAAGGCAGGGACACTGCAGTTGGAAGGGTGCCTCCCCTTGCTGTGGGCTACTTCCGCTGTCCTATCCTTCCGCAGTGCAGTGTCCTACTGTCTTCCTACTGTGGCCATTCACTGGATAACCGGTAAAGGGAGCGGCCGCCAAGCATGCATTACAGGCTTTCCTCCCTTCATGAAGATTTTGAGGACTTTGAGACTATAAAAACACCCATTTCCTTGTGGAACATCTAGTCTATAAGCCTGTTCGGGGAGTAGTAACATATTAATGTTCCCTTTGTTGCTTGTGTTCTACATTTCCCCGTAAAATTGGACATGTAGCCATGGAACCCATTCTCAGTCCAGGTATTTTTTTTACAGGGTCCTGCAATGTCACCCTGGCTGGCCTGGGACTCTGCAAATCCATCTGGGTGACCTGCCTCTGCCTCCCCAGTGTAGGGATTAAAGTATGAGTCACCACATCTGCTCCCTTCTCTCTGATGCTGGCTGCCCAGGCTTAGACAAATTAGTAGCCAATTTAACCCAGTTCCCTCACAGGCCAAACGGAAATTGTAGCTTTGTTCTTCAGGCTATTGTGAAAATTGAATACTGCATATACACACCTGACTTGGTCCTATTTATTGTTATGATGATTAGAGAGAATAAACAAGTAGTTCAGCTGCAATACCATTTTAACGCTTCTGGTAATAACTTCATAGGAAAACAAAACCCCTGGCAGAAAAAAATGCAATCGCCTCTATTCCTTTTCTTTTAGTCTAAGTGTGTGTGTGTGTGCGTGCGCAGTCTGAGAAGATAAATCCAAAGTACAGATAACTAAAGAGCTTGGCATTTGCTTGCATATTTGAGCTAGATGACACTGTAATAGAAAGATTGTCATTGGGCCTGAGTTATTTATTTGGTGTGCAATTGAGGAAAAGGTAGTACTTATTATAGAGAGTATTTCATGATAATTTAAGTTACAGAAAGACTATTCATATGGGAAGGGAATGACTTAATATTAAATTACATTTTCTTTTTAACACTTGCTGACTGCTGTCATTGAGCCAAATGATGGTTGCTGCTGACATGAATACATCAGTAATTCCTACATTACCATCTCAGCAGTGGTATCTTAAATTCACATAGCACATAGCCTGTGGAACTCTGTAGAGCTGCCTGACCTGGAAACCGCAAATTCTGCCATGAGAAATAGAGCAAGTGCTTTGAACACTTGCTTTTGTGTATGTAGTATATACATACTTTAAAAAACATAGCATCAGGCAGTGGTGGTGTACACTTGTAACCTCAGCACTTAAGAAGCAGAGGAAGGACTGCGACTTTGTCCAGAAGAGCGTGGAGTCCAAGAGGCAGGGAGTGCTAGGTAAAGGTGGGCTGCACAGGTGGGCTGCACAGGTGGGCTGCGGGGCCACTAGCCTGCTTGCTTTGCTAGAGCAGCACATGAGCCCCGCCTTTGTGTAGTGGACAGTGAGGGAGAAGGGTGAGTGTGGTCATGACGGGTCAGCAGTGTGACCTAGCAAGCCAGGATGAGCTGGAGAGAGGCGGGAGGAGGAGAAGGGCAGCGGGGAGGATGGGAACCTGGGTGGATTTCTTTATGAATTTCACGTTTTAGAATGTGTTATTTGGAATTTTTTGAAATACTAGGTGGTTTGTTTTTCTTTGGTTCTTTGATACATTGTAAGTGTGTATCTGCTGAGTGCTAGTCAGTAGACTAACCTTAGTAGCCTGCTCTGGGGAAATAATTGTCTGAATTGTATGTATTAACAAGATAACACCAGCTTAGGAAGTAAGGCAAAGGTCAGTAAAGACTGCCCACTGCTGTGCTAAACTTTGTGGTCAGGCAGTGGCTTGCTGCATTGTACCCGTTTACTGTTCTAAGTGTTAAGTGTAAGAGAGTGAAAAGACAGATCATAAGTAGAAAAAAATGGATTAATTAGATGGTTGTAAATTAGTTAACACCAGCAAGAACACTCTGTTACTACTTGGAGAAAAAAACCTAATGTAATACCCATTGCTGAAGACAACACGTATATTGAACATGGAGATGTGGAGCTGGTGCCAACACAGAGCCTTCATCCCTATGTTCCAGCATCCCCAATACAGAAAGATACTGTGCACGTTATCAAAAGAGCCACAATGGAGTAGGCTGCAAGAGATGCCAGGGCAATGATGGCGCAAAGCTTGTGGGAGCGGTCAACCAATCACTGATCTGACTTAAGGTCCATTCCACAAGATGTAACCCAGACCCAACACTGCTTGGGTGACCCCGAACCTGAGACTAGATAGCTCAGGGACACAAGGGAAAACCAAATAATACTTGTCTTTAAAAAAGCGAGAAAAGAGAAAAAATAAAAAGGAATATCACATTTTGGAATTTTTGTTTCAAATTCTGGCTTTATAATTAAATAGATTCTGATGTTTTCATTTTTTTTTTTTCTCACAGCATCTGCAGAAAAGGAAGCAATTAAAGGTGCATATACCAAAGTACTGGATGCATATGGACTTTTGGGAGTTTTACGATTAAATCTTGGTAAGTGTTATTCAGTGTGGCTCATCTACTTTTCATTTCTCTTTTATAACTCTGAGAATTTCAGAGACTACCTATGTATTATTTCACATGCAGTATCTGAGCTTTAAATGTTATGTATCTTTTAAATACTAATCAAGCTAATCTGTTTTTTTCCCTTTGCTACTCACCTTATTGCTTGTCGTTGCCTGTTACAGCCTGCAGATACACACTCACTAGACATTGCTTTCACAATGATTTCTTTTCCCCTTTTAAATCTTAGATGTGAGGGGCTAATCTTTTTAAAATAATGTTTTTATTAAAAATAATATTTTTTTAACGATGAGAATTTTAGGTAATGTACTTTGATCATATTCAGCCCCCTAACTCCTTCCGAATCTACCCCCATATCACCACCCAGCCAACTTTCTGTGTCCCTTCCTCCCCTCTTTCTCCTCCCCCTCCCCTCTCAAACTTACCAGTTTGTGTTGGTTAACTGCTCTTGGATGTGGGGTCTACCCTAGAGTGTGGTCACACCATCAAAGAGAATGGACTGTGCCTTTCCCAGCGGCTGTCTGACTCAGTGGTTAAGAGCCATGCAGAGAAAACACTCCTGCACATACAATAAAAATAGTTAGGTTAATCTTATATGTTTCTTTCCTAGAAAGACATGCAACAGTTTTAAAATCAGCGGGCAGTGTCCTGTTGAAACACAGTAGCGGAAAATGAGAACAACCTCTTTTGTCTTCTTCCAGCACATTAAGGAACACACCGATTCCCCCAGTATATCATAGAAAAGGGCATCTGTTTTAGATGCAGAAATGTCTGCTATTTAATGTTCTTTTGTAACTTAAAGTCATTTTATATGTGTGTGAGTGTTTGATGATGTCATGGATGCCTGTGAACGGTGTGCATGTAGCCTGCTGAGTCGAGAACAGGGTGTCAGACCCCCTAGCCCTGGAGTTCAGACAGTCACCTGTGAGCCACACCATGCGGGTGCTGGTAATCGAACTCAGGTCTTCTGAAAGGGCAGTGCTCTAAACTACTGAGCCACCTCTCCAGCCCTGACCTAATGTTACCACGCTCCTCAGGATAACTTTTATGATGAGCCGTTTGTCTATAAAGGTATGCCTTGAGGTGTGGTCCAGAGACCACACTGGTCTGTGTGAGAAAGTAAGCTTGCACTCTGCGTGGTTTTCTTCCTCGATGGCGTCTGTGAAACTGAAAGAGAAGATAGTAAACTCGTGTGGGGTTGATTGTGAGGGTCATTAGTATGATGCAGGTGTCTCCCTTACCTCCCTCCCTTACTGTGCTGCCCGCCAGAAGCTGACACGTTTGTCATTGTGCAGGACTGCTCAGTGTCATCGTCTACCCAGATGATGAGGGAGTGCTTTGATCCCCTCTCCTAAGTGACTATAGTCTAGGCCGGCCATGCTAACACATCATTTCCATGGGGACAACAGTGCGTGGCCCTGATTGGGAGCGGTCTCTGCTTGTGCCACTGGCTCTAATACCAGGCGTTTGCTGTAATTATGTGAAAAAAAAAAAAACAAAACCTCCTGCTGTTCAGGAGTTAAGACCTTGGAGTAAACCCCAGGACCATCCCTTCTGCTGCACTAAAGGAAGAAGGGAAACCACAGGAAGTCTCTGAAAGGTCTCACGAACCAGCTTGCTTTATAAATCGTCAGTAAAGCCTTATTCCCGCGTGCTGTCATCTTCAGCGCTCAGGGTTATGTGCCATTTTAAAACTCTACCTTTTCCAACGATGCTGAACATGCATTATCTTATCCCAGCTTCCTGTTCATGGTAAGGTTTGTAGTCTCAGTGTGGAAATAACTTTGTAAATGTGACATTATCTTATTAATGTTTTAGTACTTGACATACTGAGTGCATTTAGACAAGCATTTTTTTTCCCTGAAAAAATATCTGTAGTTGTAAATTTAAACATGTTCACGGTAAGTTTAGGATAGTCACAATGATCTGGCATGGAGGTACACATGTGTAATCCCTACATACAGAGGCCCGAGGACTGGGATTTCCAGGCCAGTTTATGCAGCGTGTATATTAAGACTTTAAAGATGGAAGCACACGAAGAAGTCGGAGGAAACTATAGAGCTCGAAAGCGTTGGTGTTCTATCCTGTAAAATGTTTGGTTTTTACAGGTGATACCATGTTGCATTATCTGGTCCTAGTCACGGGATGCATGTCTGTTGGGAAAATCCAAGAATCTGAAGTTTTCCGAGTTACTTCCACTGAGTTTATATCACTCCGAGTTGATGCTTCTGATGAGGACCGCATTTCAGAAGTCCGAAAGGTTCTGAACTCGGGAAACTTCTACTTTGCATGGTCTGCCTCTGGGGTCAGCTTAGATCTGAGTCTGAATGCTCATCGCAGCATGCAGGAGCACTCAACCGACAACAGATTCTTCTGGTGAGTCTGTGTTCTCTCTCTTCCTTTGTAATGATGTACTGGGTGATAGTACAGAAATTGGAAACAACAGCTGTCTGTGGAGGAAGCAGATGATGGACGTGGTTGATTGAGTGGGCACTTTTTCCTTCCCCAAGCCCACAACAGAGGCCGGCAGCGTTAGATGGACAGGGAAAAACTTTCCCACTACATTGGAAATTCAAGCAGAGGCCGTTTTGTTTGCAAAGTTTAATTAGTAGGAATAATTCTTTTTCTTTTTAGTTAAAGGTGGAGATCAGGGCATGTTTAGGTCACAGCCTGAGTGGGTGGGTTTGTCCAGTGGTTGTTGAACTTGTGTTTTGCTAAAGATCAAAAAACTTGAGTTTAATTTTACCTAGAAAAATGGAAGTTTTTAGATTTCACATCCTTGTAGCTTTGTTTTGTGTGTGTGTGTGTGTTTTGTTTGTTTGTTTTGTTTTTGTTTTTGTTTTTTTTTTTTTAAGACGTAGTAAGCTTTGTAGCCAGCCTGCCAAATAACCCTCAGAAAAGTTGTAGTTTTATTCCCTGGAGATTTTAGTAGTGCTGCTGTTACTCAAGCCTTGGCACAGATGTGAATAGAGTAAAGCAGCGATGCATCTACAGTAAAGGGCAGTGTGAACTGACCGCTAACAGGAGCTCTGCCTGCTCATAGTGAGTGCCTCCGGTTCAGGCTCCGTTTAAATGAGGACCAATGCACCACTCGGCTGCTCCATGGCATGGCGCTCCGCTGTGATCTCTCATGCTGTGATTGATCTGTTGAGGTTTGCCTCGGATCAGGGTAAATCATAGTAAAGTATGAGAGCATGAGTCATGGTATCAGCGAGAGAGCAGTGGCCATTGCACCTCACATTATCCCAGTGGTCTCGTCACTCGGTCACTCGGTGCACTGCGCTCTTGTTACTGTTGTTAGGGGCCCTGGGTGTCCATGGGGCACTGTGTCACCTCTGTCACCTCTGTGTGAAATACCAGGGCAGTGTAGAACACTTGCAGTCCATTGGAATGGTCAAAGTCTTCAACTGTAATATTGAAAAGTAACTTCTGAATTGATGGAGTCGTTTGCCAAATGGCATGTTTTTTTAGTAGGTTTGCTAGAAGATTCCACAGAATCTTGCACGTGTTCTGAGGAAAACCAAGGTTCCTCTATAGAGCCCTGAGGCATAGCCTGCAGGGTGAGAAGACTAAGTTGGTCATTGAAACTCTGAATATCTTTATTTTTTGTTTCTTCATCACTGGGCTGTGTTTGCTTGAATACAACATCTTTTTCCTTCGGGTTTGTAAACCAGGCCCTATCAGATACCTACAGGACTCCAGTATTTAGGCGGGCCTGTGGGTGTGCCTAGTGATAGAGCCCTTACGTAGTATGAGCGAGGCCCTGGATTCCATGACCAAGACTGAAAAAAGAATGTTGGAGACTTAGGAAGCACTGTGCCTTACATTGTGTGGTACGTAGCTACTAGCTATGCTGGCTCTTTAAACTTAATTAAAATATAGCCTTACATGAGTCTTATATGTAAACCTCTTTAAAGTAGGATGTGTTTGTATAACCCGTTTCAGAACAAATTAGGTTGTGTGCATGTTCTGTGAAGGTAGACTAGAAATGTTTTACAAATACTAAAATCACAAGTTTTTAGCATAGTAGGTCACCTGATTAAGAATCTTCATTTCATTTTATAGCCTTGTCTTTAGCATAGCAAATGTAAATAAATTGCATACTTGGGGAGCCTTTTAATAATATTACATTAATGTTTAAAATGTTATGTACTTAGCAACCTAACCCAGTGTCTCCTTTTGCCCTTAGGAATCAGTCTTTGCATTTGCATCTCAAGCACTACGGTGTGAATTGTGATGACTGGCTATTACGCCTCATGTGTGGAGGAGTAGAAATCAGGACAATTTATGCTGCCCATAAGCAAGCAAAAGCCTGCCTCATCTCAAGACTGAGCTGTGAACGAGCTGGGACAAGGTTTAATGTCCGAGGGACAAATGACGATGGCCACGTTGCCAATTTTGTAGAAACAGAGCAGGTACATGGTGTTTTATATTTCTTACCACATGTAAGAGAGAGACAGGAAATACTAGAGTAACAGACTAGTGAGAGAGAGGGGGGGGAAATACTAGAGTAACAGACTAGTGTGAGAGAGAGAGAGAGAGAGGAAATACTAGAGTAACAGACTAGTGAGAGAGAGGGGGGGGGAATACTAGAGTAACAGACTAGTGTGAGAGAGAGAGAGAGAGAGGAAATACTAGAGTAACAGACTAGTGTGAGAGAGAGAGAGAGAGGAAATACTAGAGTAACAGACTAGTGAGAGAGAGAGACACAGGAAATACTGGATTAATAGACTTGTCATGCATTATGTTGATATTTCTGGCAACTTATTGGCCTTAAGAAAGGTGTCTCTAGAACAAACAAATAGTTGTGTGATACTAATTAAATAATGTGATATAGTCAGTGCTATACATTGACAATGAATTTTAAAATCTTCAATTATAGAGCAAGATGGCTTCATAAAATATTTTTATAAATGTAACTCTTAATAGATATGTACTACCTAAAATTTTAAAGTTACAACGTTTGGCTGTGGAACTATGTAATTATAAATTTTAGGCTGTAACACAGCTCAACTCAGCTCTTCAAACAAGGTTTTAGGAAAAATAAAAAGCTGAGGGACACAGTACAGGAAATAGTTTTCTTGGTCAGCATTATCACTAACTGACAAACCGTGATGACTTGGGTCAGGACAGTCCGCATATGAGCGGTCACCACAGCTTGTGCCGCATCTCCGCAGCATCTTTCCAGTGCAGAGCTAACAGGCTTTTCCCCTTGGAATTCTTTCTTTTTTGTAGGTTATATACTTAGATGACTGTGTTTCTTCCTTCATACAAATCCGTGGATCTGTCCCGTTGTTCTGGGAGCAACCAGGGTTGCAGGTATGTGCCCGACATCCCATTTGTTTGTTTGGTTTTTTCCTCTTTGAAAATTTACATTTTGTCCAAATTTTCAACATAGTTCTTCGGGTCTCCTGGCCATTCTGTGTGCGATGCTAGGCTGAGCATCCCCTTTCCGTGCTGTCAGTTGCTTTCACGTATTACTAAGTGAGTTATCCCAATTTCACAAAGAGAAGTTTTATTTTGGTTCATTAATTTTAGAGATTAGAAGTCAAGATTGGACAGGCCCATTGGTTTGGCAGCTGTGTAGCAATGTGACACTTGATGACATTACCATGGGTTTATACGGAAGAAAGAGAGCACACCTTTAAAAGAAGACAAAGAAAGCGTGTGATGTGTTCAGCTCCGCTTCCCTATCCTAGGCTTTCTTAAGAGTGGCCAATAGGAAGCCAGCATTCCCTCCACAGGGTGTGTCCCCAGGAATCTCCAGACTCCCATGAGGCCTCACAGCTCCACACCATCACTAACACAGCCAAAGTGTGAAGGCTTCACAGACAGGACACTTTCAGACCATACACATAGCTGTAGCAACTCAGGCCTGTTTAATTATTAAATTTCAAGAATATTTTTAAGTTTTCATTATTTTAGAGTAAAATGACTTAGTTTCTCTAAGCAGAAGAATTTGGTAGCTTAAAAAAACAACCCTGTTCCCAGACTCTACACCCTTATTCTATCATTACTAGGAAGGTGATCGTGGGCAAGCGATTGAATTCCTTTTTTTGTCTCAGTCTCCTCATCCGTAAAATGATAATAGTGTCTCCTCGTGGGGCTGTTGGGAGGACCGAATGAGAACCACTTGTGTCTGGCATACAGCCGTACATCAGAGTTAGCCATTCCTGGCTTTGGTGACATTCTGTGCCTGGACTATGGCTTTGTAATCTGTGATGTCCTATCATCTTGAGGATGGATATTCCTGGTAGTTTCTAATTTCATTTATAAAAATATAATTGTCTCACCTTTACCAAACATTTTAAAGTATAAGGTTGTGATATAAATTATTTCCAGAAGTATAACCTTACATTAATTGTAAGGAGAAGTGCTTAGGCCCTAAAGTGCCATTTTGTAGGCTTCTAGTGTGGTCATTTGGGGGAGTATGTCTCAGTTAGTGTTGTGAAACAGTACAGAAAAAGAAGTCTTGTCTCCCCTTTTGCTGCTAGATCTTTCTTACATTCTAAGCGGGTCACTGGGGGCCTCTGGAGGTTTTCAGTGTTATGGTCTAGTTAAGGTAGGCCAACCAACGACCAACGACAGGATGAGTTATTGTGCTTCTAACACACTTAGTTCTTGTCAAGACTGGCTGGACGGGTGTGGGCTCTTTTTGGAGGGCGATGTCTTTTTGTTTGTTTCTGATTTTGTGTAGTGCTGGCTGGCCTGGATCTCTGTATGGCCTGGAACTCTCGGAGATCCACCTACCTCTGCCTCCTGAGTGCTGCTTTTAAAGTGCACCACACCCAGCCAGGTGGAGACTTTCTGTTTTACACAGGGCAGCTTGACTCAGAAAACTCTGACCCAGCCTCACTTTCTTAAGCTTTTATGGTCTTTGCTGGGGAGTCAAGTGTTTGCTTTAAGGACAGCCTTGAAAGGGCTGGTGAGATGGCTCAGTGGTTAAGACCCTGGTAACTCTTGCAGAGGTCCTGGGCAGGCAAAATACCAATGCACATAAGTTAAAAATTAAAGATGAAAACAAAACAAAACCCCCCAAAACATCCCTGAAACCCCAACATGATGCAAGGTGAAGCTTCTGTTTGGGGACAGACTAAAGAGGCCCTGCGTTGTGCTGATTCTGTGACACTTTTCCGTGAAGTTCAGAATCACAGTGTTTGATGAGTTGGTATGTCTGGGTTCTGAATAGCTAGCCACATTAAAGGATCCTCCTTGGGTTGGCCTTTCCTCACAGGGAATCTTGCTGCTTAATGTCCTCTGTCTAGCTGTGGGCTGAAATCTCTGGTGTCGTAAACCCTTCTCGTTTCCTCATAGAGATAGTGCATTTACAGCCAATGAAATGTCTAAGAAGTCTACCAAATCATCACTTAGCCGGCCTGTTGTGGACTGGTCAAGAGAAGGGGGTACCTGAGTCTTTTCCACAGTATTTAGTTAATAGTTTCTAAAAATCAACTTCCCTTTGCATAAGAACAATTGATCTTTGTTTTTGTTTTGAGAACGTTCTTGCAACAAAAGTCTGGCTATATATCCTAGGCTGGCCTTGAATGCATGATGGTTATCCTACCTCAGCCTCCTGAGAATGGATTCCCTCCCTCCCTCCTTCCTACCCACCCAACTTTCCTACCTTCCTTTTTTTTTTTTTTTTTTTGAAACAGCGTTTCTCTATGTGACTCTGGCTGTCCTGGAACTCTCTCTGTAGACCAGACTGGCCTTGAATTCACAGATATCCACCTGCCTCTGCCTCCTAAATACTGGGATTAAAGGCGTGCGCCACCGCCCGGTGAGAATAGATTCTTTTTGTGAATATATTTTGTACTAAAAAGTTTCCTCCACTGTTCTAAAGCAGTGGTAATAAAGGAATGAAAATATTTGATTTATTTTTAAGAAAGTATAAAAATAGATAATTGATTTTCCAAAAGTAAAAATAACATAGTTAGGATTAACTATTTTGTGGAATCAAACTAGGAGTCTTGCTTTGGGAGTGGTGTGAGTGGTTGTTACATGTTTTTTGCATTCACAGGAGAAAAATTTATTTTAGGGATCCAATTTGTTTGTTCATTTGCTTATGGTGATTTGCTGTCTAGAGCTTTGTCTGGGGCTTGCAATGTTCTTGTCTTTGTCCCCTGAGCACTGGTTTACAATGCTGATACTGTGGATTGAACTGTGGGCTTGAACGAGCTTAGCACAGCTTATTTCTGTTTGTCTTATTTCCTTGTCAGACTGCATGATGGTGTGACAGCTCTTTCCCTCGACCCCTGTAACAGGACACTCTGCCCACACGTCAGCAGGGGAGAGCTCTACCCTCAGAGAAACTTCACCTGTTAGGTCTTCCCAGTCCCCCGCTTGCCTGTTTGAAAGAAAGAAATATAACCCATGTTAGGTAGATTCTTCCCATCCTCCCCCCACTACCCCCCATCCCCCAGCACAACATTGTTAATTCTGCAAACTGGGCTGTGGTTATGGTAGTGAGGTCAGCCTGGGAGATGTGTGTTTGAAGAAGGGCTAACTTTCTTTGCACATCACTCGAACCCAGATCCCTCTCTGAGACTGCAGCTGCAGGCATTTGGGAGCTCCCAGGCATGGGTACCGGAGCTGGACACAGGCCCTGTGGCAGGGCAGCAGGGCCGCTCAAGCACTGAGCCACCTTCCCAGCTGCAGGGAGGGAGGGTTTACTTTGGTTTGGCTTTTAGTGCACTTGGAGTCTTTACCATAATAGAGGAGAAAGACACGTGAACGTCGTAGTGGTAGGCTGCTTGAAAAAGTAGAAATTTTGGTCAGGAAATATAAATATCTCATCTGAATCCCCCTGTTTTTAATTAGTTGCATGTCTTAAACACAATATGTTTTTGTTTGAAATAAGGCAAACAGTACGTTTGTAAGCACTCAAAAATCTTTTCCTTCAAAAAAATTGCTATTAATGAGTATTTCTTAGTGGGTGTAGCTTGTTCTTATTTTCCCTTTGGTCATTTACAGCATGCATGATACTACAGTCATGTCACAGGTCCTTTACGCATTACTTAACTGTGCACTAACAGTATATTGACATTTAAGAAATAGGACACATTAAACACGCCCTTTGTAAAAATCATTCTTTTTCAATATATTTTTTTCTAGTTTGTTTCACACATGATTAACTTAGATACCAAATTGTAAATAAAACTATGAACTCTTAAGGGCCTAAAAGTATATACAGACTTTAGCGTTTGAAAAAAGTACTCCATTTGAGTTGATAAATTACTTGCACAATTTGTGGTGATAATCAAATGCCTATCACAGAGTTGGCTCTCCCTGTCCCCCAGCATCACCAGCAGTCAGCTTCTATTTACCTTGGTAACGGTGTCCTCTTTCAGAAGTCAGACTGTTGGGCTGGAGAGAACATCAAGACGCTAAGAGCACTCGCTGTTGTAGAGGGCCTACATTAGGGGCCCAACATCCACATGGTGGGTGGCTCTGCCTCTGTCTCCAGTTTCCCGGTGGGATGCTCGCTTCTGACCTCATGCACATGCGGCACACATGCATGCTGTCGCTCACACATACACAAAACATGCTTTTGTAAAATAGTCAGAATGGTAAAACAGCAAGTGTAAAAGTGTAAGTGTGATTTTGTTTGGTTTAGGTTTTTTGTTTGTTTGTTTTTGTTTTTGTTTTTGTTTTCCTTTCTTAAGCAGAGTTACCTCTGTTGTCTGTGTGGCCCAGGCAGAACTTGAGTTCAGGATTCATCTGTGTTACTTTGTAGCAGCTTGATTTACAGACATGAACTGTTGTATTTGGCCGAAAGCTGAGATTTATAAAGCAGCAGAGAAGATGCTTACTTAAACATTGTTTAATTTCATTAAAGCCACTTAAGGTTGGGGCTGGAGAAATGACTCAGCAGTTACAAGCATATGCACTAGTCTGCTAGAGAGCCCCAGCACGCATGCCTGATGGCCCACAACCACCTGTAACTGCAGCGCCAGCACTCCCGTAAGCCACACAGGGACACACATGCGTGATTCAAACACAGTCAGTATTTCTAAAAGCACTTCAGTGTATAGGAGCAATAGAAATGCAGAAGAGTGAATGCTTGTGCTGTCATTTAGATGTTATCTAGCAAAATTAAAAGTTTAAGAAATAATAACATCTGATTATACTCAATATTACTTTTATAAAAAAATTCCACTGTGATTCCATATTATGAAAAGAATCAATACTATCCTAAGTTTTCTAGACCTTAGTTCTGAACTGTTAAATGGTTTGATGAGTTAAAACGTTAGGAATAACACCAGGTGTTTGTGGTGCACACCGTTACTCCCAGCACTCGGGAGGCAGAGGCAGGCAGATCTCTGTGAGTTTGAGGCCAGCCTGGTCTACAGAGTGAGTTCCAGGACAGGCTCCAAAGCCACAGAGAAACCCTGTCTTCAAAAACAAAATTAAAAAACCCTCCAAAAAGAATAAAAAGAATGATACATTGGACCAGCACAATGGCTCAGCAGATAACGATGCTTGCATGATAAGCCCCAGAACCCACAGTGAAAGAAAGAGGAAACCAACTTCATAGAGTTGCCCTCTGACCTGCACATATGGACTGTGGCATGTGTTGTGCCACACACACACACACACATCATACATACACATGATAGTGGCAAAAATTTATTTTAAGAAGCTAAAAATTTCAGACATATTTCTCTAATGTATGAAATCTTTAATGACTGGAAGTCTTTACTCCTACAGAAATATTGTGTCTGCTGAAACACACCATCTATCCAGTGGTTAAATAATCACTCAAGATGTATTAAGTAAATCATCTTTGTTACTTTTTGTTATTGTTATTTTGGTTTTATTATTTATTAGCATTGTTTTTGTTTTGTTTTTATGTTTTTGAGAGAGGGTCTCTCTACATGGTCCTAGCTGTCCTGAACTCACTATGTAGATCAGGCTATCCTCAAACTCACAGAGATCTGTCTGCCTCTGCCTCTCAAGTGCTAGAATCAAACGTGTGCACCATGCCCAGATGTTTTGTAGCCCTGGCCTGGGTCTTGCTATGTAAACTAGTTTTGAATACGATGGCATTTTTCCTATCTGGATCCTGAGTGCTGGAATTGACAGGGTACCATTATGCCCAGCTTCCTTTAATGTCATGGAAATAAAAAGAAATTTGCATGTTGGCTGTTTCCGTTTATATGTATTTTTATTTCTATCTTTATTAGGCCTTATAAGTTAAAAACTTAGAAAAAAACCTTCTCTGCTAATATGATAAATTTCAATGGTTCACACAACAAATATTAGCCAAGCTCAGATATTACTTTTAAAGTTTCTTTTGCTTTTCAGTCAGTAGAGTGTTGGTATTAAGGCCTGGCCATTGTTCTTTTCACATGAGTTTCATCGTAAAACTAGGAGTAGGGGGCCCCTAGAACTAATTATCTAAACAGATTATCATGAGTGAAGCCCAGGCATTTCGTCTACTTTGTTCACGAGATGAATTGCTTGGATGCAGTAGTGATGTTTCTTTTGTCTTGACAGTGGTTCGGGTAGTGATTAAATCTTTTTCTTGCCTAAGGTGGGATCCCATCGTGTCCGTATGTCGAGGGGATATGAAGCGAATGCACCTGCTTTTGACAGGTAAAACTGATGATATTTGAGTAGTACTATATGTGGCTCATATTATATTTGCTTTGTGTGGTGTTGCTGTATATAGCAGAACCTTTTATTATCTTTCCTTTTCTTTGGTTTTTTTTTTTTTTTTTTTTTTTTTTTTTTTTTTTCATTTTCTCGAGATGAGATGGGGTTTTTCTGTAGCTTTGGAGACTGTCCTGGAACTTGCTCCATAGACCAGGCTGGCCTCGAACTCACAGAGATCTGCCTGCCTCTACCTCTCAAGTGGTAGGATTAAAGGCGTGCGCCACCACTGCCTGGCTTTCTTGTTTTTTAATTGTCCCCCCCCCCACAGGTACATTTTATCCGTATGGATGCACAGGTTGCAATACCACACCACCATATACTGAAGTGTTTCTCGAACATACATAAATATGTTAAAGTTTAATTTATAGATTAGACACAGTGTGAGAGGTGAACAAGAACAAATTGTATTATATGCATTTATGAACTTGTCAATAAATAAAAACTAAAAAAAGAGAATTATAATAGTATACTGCATTAAAATGAATGTATGATGTAGCTCTGTCCAGAAAGATTAAGTACAGATGTTAGCATCTTTGGACCCTGATTGAGCTCAAGGTAACAGAGTCTGTGGGGAGCAGAGCCACAGACAAAGGGAGCCGGCAAAGGCGAGAGCTGGCCAGGCAGCCCTTTTGAGTACTCCTCAAGTACGTGGTCGCCAGAAGGGTCTGGTGGCTGTGCCACCAGCTCTGCAATGGAAAGTAAGCTGGAGGCTGGCCAGCTCCGGGGCTCTAGCCAAGGTGAGAGTCAGAGGGGAAATTGTACTTACTGAATGTTACAAATTCAAGGGTTTGAGGACACATAGAATGGATTTGTATCCAATTTAGCAAATTTTGTGAGTTTCTTGTTTTCTGGGGGGGGGGAGGCTATAATTTTACTATGCTGTTTCTTTTGTCAATAGGCATTTCCGGACACTTAAGGATTTGTATGGTAAACAAATAGTAGTAAACTTACTTGGATCTAAGGAAGGAGAACATATGCTAAGTAAGGCTTTCCAGGTGAGTGTGGCTGCCTTACCTTCTGTTCTGGCCCATAGTCTCCTAGAATGGAAATAAAGACAAAGTGACCAGACTCCCAGGAAGAAAAGCACCTAGACAAAAGTTAGCTACTGTGATGCCTTCAACTCTCTGAGGCTGTTAGAAAATAGCATGAGCCAAATTCTTACTTAAATCAATGACGGACCCATGTAAATTATGTTGTATAAAATGTAGAATAACTAGAAACCATTTTCTAAGGTTTAAATTAGGCAGTCTGGTTAAGTGGGAAAATAACCTATTTCTTAAGATTGCAAGAAAATAATTGTAACTAAACACTGTTCTTTTGAGAGTGATATTTTAATGGTAAACATAGAAATATACATACGTATTGAATGAAGGCATAAAAAGATGAGTCTTTTAATCTCTGATTAGACTTTGTTACAAATTAAACTGCTTTATTTTAGATTCCGTAATAGGTAAAAGTACTTACTAAATTTGTTCCTAACAATAAAACACTGGTGTTTGGAAACTATTACAACTTCTAAACCAAACTAAAGAATTAGTTATGCCACTCAGTCTCTCGGGGATAGCATATGGAGTTTTAGACAATAAATGCCATTAGGTATCAAAAAAGAATTGTCCTCTTTGCTTCCACTGTTGGTGAAAGCTTTTGGGGGATTAGTAAAATTTCAAATAACGCTGTTGCAGCTTGGAATATAAGTGCTTCTGCAGTGCTGTAGCAATAGGCCATTTAACTCACAGCTACATGAGCATTTGCTTTCACTTTCAGAGTCATTTGAAAGCTTCTGAGCACGCGTCCGATACCCTCATGGTGTCTTTTGACTATCACCAAATGGTTAAAGGAGGGAAGGCAGAGAGACTACACAGTGTTCTCAAACCTCAAGTCCAGAAGTTTCTAGATTATGGATTTTTTTATTTCGATGGCAGTGAAGTTCAAAGGTTTGACAGTTCTATTTCTCTTTTCTTTAAACTGGAACTTTCCTATAACGTAAAAATCATTCTTAACATTAAACTTTTGAATTTTCTTTTTTATATTGAGCCTTTGCTTATTGCCTGCGTTGATGTAACTGGAACCCTTAGTTTTTGCATATGTAACAAGAAAAAAGTAAATTGAAAGGTTTAAGCTCAGATTATAGATTGGACAAAGCTCAAAGTTACTGGCTTTTATCAGATTGTATTTTCTATGTCATAGTGGCTTATGGGGCAGTGAAGAGAAAGAGCTTGTTATTGTTGTTTTTATAAATAATCATTCCCAAAATTCTTACTATTTTGTAGAAAGAACTATAGGATTATAAACGTAGCTATATTTAGCTCCTAACTACAGGCCTAATAAAAATAAATCTGTGGTAGATATGTGGTAAAAATGCAATGCAAAACATTAACAGATGTAGAATCTAGGTGTGTGTGTGTGCGGGTGTGTGCTATATTTTCATTGTTATTTTGTGCCTGAATATGATGATGATATAAAGTTGGAACTAGAAAGGTACTCAGTTTTAATCATCTCTGTTGCTGTTAGTTCATTTATGCTTTATTTGTATTGTAAACTAGCCATGTAACTTTCTTGAAATTGTTGCAGGTGCCAGAGTGGTACAGTTCGAACGAACTGCTTGGATTGTCTTGATAGAACAAACAGCGTGCAGGCATTCCTTGGATTAGAGGTAAAACTATTATGCCTGTGCCGTACGCATCCTGAGCACGTTTGTAACCCTGTTTCTCAGTCGCATGAAGTATTGACGCTAGGCCTTGCTGGAGACTTTTGTTTGTTCACTTCTTGCCTTTCCCTCTCTCAAACCCCTTGTGATTTAACCATTCCCTTCTCCGCTCTTCATATGTTCCGATAGCTGCCGCCTGTTTCCTGCTGTGGTTTCTTACACTTCTTGTAGAATACACTCCAATGTGTATTGGAGTGACCAATGCTGGTTGGCCTTTCTCTTGAAACAGTATGCATGGATTTGAACTTTATGTTAACATTTTCAAGATTTTATTTTAGGATGTTGAAAGTCTGTTTTTACCTGTACTTTCCTAAAGGGTTATATTTTTGATAGTTTATAACTCAGTCCAAGTGGGCATTATGAAGTCAGTTGCTTCAAAAATCTGATTCATTAATTAGGAATCATGAAATGCCATAGCTAGCCAAATTAAAAAATGACCAGGTTTTCCTTTAAGGTCTTTAAAAGCTTATTTATTTATTAGGTTTCTTTTACTGTTATTCACAAGCTCAGTCTAGTACAGACACACACGGTCTCAGCTACTCAGTAAACTGGGACACCCCCATCCTCCCTGGGTCACAAGGACGTCGTGGATTCGCTTTGCATTAGGTAGGACTTAGTTTTCAAACACTCTAAAGAGTCTCTAGTTAATGATCTGTGCATTAGTTAATTAATTACAGAAACTCAGTTTCTGTCTCAAGTCAAGGTCCAATTGTATAAAATTCTCTGAGGCACAGACATTATATATAAGTAAATACATTTTTCTGTTTTGACTTTTTTTTTTAAACCTATCATTGACATTTATCTTATTTTTCTTAAAATATGACACATGAGATGTGAAGAAGACAGATCATAATGAGATGAATTCATATGGCTCAGGTCTGTCTGAAACCCTGGCTGTTGCTGAGTAGACACATTTACTGCGTCTGCCCAAGCCTAGTGACACTCTTAGACCTAAGGTATCAAGGGTTCATGTCTAGTTGTCTTAGCTGACTCTCGCTTCTGGAAGTGTGGCGTGTGTGTATGGCCCTCTCACATTTGGTTAACTTATTGCTAAATTAGAGTTAGACAGACTAATAATGAAGTGAACTTTGTCTTTCTGCTCCTTCAAAGAGTGAAAGGAGACCAAGCCCAGGGCTGTTTTATGCCCACATGAGCATAGAACTCTAGCGTAACCCACCTGAATGATAAAATGAGGGGCTTTCATTCGTACGGTTCTATATTCTGTAATTGTAGATAACACGACACCAAACAGATACGCAGGAAACATAAATAGAAAGGAATTCAGTAAAAGTGCATGAGTCAGTAAGAGGAACAGACATTGTCTCCATGCTGCTGGAGCCCAGGCTAGAGTTCATGCAGAGCAAAGATCAGTGGCTGGGGGCTGCTTGTGCCGCCTTCTGGGGTGGAGGGCCTGTTAACCCTGAAACTGAGACTTGGCTCCCCACAGCTCTTTTATGCACGCCATCAGTGTGGACTGCATCCACGAACAGCTGCATGGCTTTTCATTGACCCTGCTCTCTTGCTCACCTCACCCCAATTAGCAAGTTTCCAGAATGAAGTCCAGAGTATAAAGTGCATATGCTTGGGTGAGCTCCGTGCGAACTTCCCTGTTCTCCTGCACACTGTGGGTTAGCTAGACTCTCAGGGAGCGAGGCAAGCTGGTCTAACTGCAGGGGCGCCAGCAAGATTAACTGAGGGATGTTACTTCTTTGGTTTCCAAATTCATGAATCTACTGAAATGATAGTTTACCTTAAAAAAAAAACTACCAGTTTAACCTTAAAAATTAAAATGTGGTAAACAAAGCCCAATAAAGTATTACTACTTTCAGAGTCCTGTGTTTATAAATTGTAAGTTTGATACTAATAGTTGTAAACAGTCACATTACAGTGAATGTACGTTTAAATATAAATACAGTATTTATATACAATTATATTTAAATATACAGTTACCTTAAATATCCTCATTTCTCCTTTCAGATGCTAACTAAACAGCTGGAAGCTCTGGGCTTGGCTGAAAAGCCTCAGCTGGTGACTCGCTTTCAAGAAGTTTTCCGGTCCATGTGGTCTGTGAATGGCGACTCCATCAGTAAGATATACGCCGGCACCGGAGCCTTGGAAGGGAAGGCCAAGGTAGACCTGCAGCCGTCACAGCGAGCTCTCATCTCTGTCCTCTCTAGAGAGCCTCGATGACTTTTACACAGTAGGGTTTAAGTTAACAGGCATTTTTAGGATTGCTTTCCTAGGTTTGCATGTCCTCTCCGATACAATTTGCCACAGTAGTAGATTCTGATGATTAAGTTCAACATAGGTAATTCTCTAGTCCCAAGGATTAAGTGTGCTTTTGGAGATAATTTTATATGTATATATAGTTTTATAGTTTTATGTGGCTTAATGTTGTGTATCTCTCTTCTTACATTGTTTATATTGATTTTAAATAAGATTTTTAAAAATCCGTAGTCCTGATCACGCATCCTGTCTCCCTGGCTTGTGTGTCTGCTACACCTGGCCCATTGCCTCCACTGGGGGTGTCACAAGTAGTGGATGGGCACTCAGTCCGTCACCAACTTGTGCAAGCCGTGCACCGGGCCGTCATTGCAGGAGAGGGTGGGGTGGACTCAGTTATGATGGCGAGTCTCATCAGGACCTCATCAGCTGCTTGTGTTATTTTCACACATTTCCTGTTTGGAATGTTTTATGACTCTGTGTACTTAAATATTGTTTAACTCTTTAAGAGGCCCTTAATTTAATTTATCCAAAATCTCTACAGTTTCTCAAATTATTTCTGGATAAAGGTGAGAACACTCACCTATAATCCCAGTGCTGGAGAGGTCGGCACAGGAGTCGGCACAGGAGGGCTGCCACAAGTTGGATCTGGGCTGTGTATCAAGTGCTAGGGCTGACAGAATCCAGTTTACAACAAAGCAAAGCAACCCACCAAAACAGTCAACAAAAAGAGGAAACATTAACATTGTGGTCCCATGAGCAGCAAGCAGCTGCGGCTGCGGGAAGCTTCCTCATCATGTCTGGACCACGTTCAGTCTGCCTCACCTGCAGAGCGCCTTGTTCATCCCTTGGGAATGCCACAAACCCTCACTCCCAACACTGCTTTCCTTTGAGGCCTAGAAATTGCTTCACGGTCACTTATTCCTTTTAAATAGCATAACCCTTGTTATTGAAATCTGATTCCAACTGCTGCTTTAAAATATTCCTTTGTGTGCTTCTGCCTTTTGTTTCTGCTGTGACTAAGACAATAGATGTACAGAAGCTGCATCTATTTTCAGTATTCTTATCTTTAACCTAAGGTTTAGATACGAAATCTTTATATATTAATATTAAATATACTAGTCTGAATTAAGCTAAAATCTAGCACCTGAACTGCTCTTTCTTTTCCTTTCTCCCGGCTCCTTTTGATTAATTGCCTGATAATGTGAATGGTGAGTGCTATTTTTCAGTAACATCATTTTGTATATTACATGACAAAAATAATGATTTAATGCCATATTACATTTAGTGGCACGTAAGAAAATTGACTCCTTATTCTGAAAAGAAGCCTGTAATTACTGTTATTTTTCAAAGGGATGAAAGAAAATTATACATTCCAAACCAAAGTTATTTTTGACAGTCAGAAGTCTATACAATCAAAATAAATACTGTTTGATAATATGCCTAAGTGAAATACCTGGTCACTAAAAGTTGTAATCAATCCTCTCAGTATTGGAATGGGTATTTATTTTTTTAGACTTATAATTGTTTGGGCAACAAAATGTCTTTAATATGTAAACTAAAATTTATGTATTTATATTTATGAGTTGTAGTTACAAATTAATTTTTTAACTGATTTTAGGTTCAACTTTGTTTTTAACTAGCATTAAATTACTGGGGAGCAATTTCACTTTTATACTGTCATAGTACTTGGAAGGTTTTCTAGGAGTTCTAAGTTCAGAGTACCATTCTTTGTCCCTATTGCTTTTCCCCATGCAGCCCATCCCCACATTTAAAAGTTAGAATGTAGGAAGGGATCTTCTTAATTCAAGTAAATAGGTATTTACTGCTCAATGTGTTAGTTGATGGAGTTGTGTTTAGTTTATTATTTTCTTTCTGCAGACTATAAGGGAGCAGCTACATTTTAAGGCCTTTATGAACTGGATTTAAAATTGCGAATGTACACTGAGTAAAATCAGCAGTATTTTGAGCAGGGTCCATGTTCCTTTCTCCCCCCCCCCCCCCAACAGGCTGGGAAGTTAAAAGATGGTGCTCGCTCTGTCACCAGAACCATTCAGAACAACTTCTTCGACAGCTCCAAGCAAGAAGCCATTGATGTCCTGCTCCTGGGAAACACTCTCAACAGTGACCTAGCTGACAAAGCCCGGGCGCTCCTAACCACTGGGAGTTTGCGTGGTATGCACACTTAACTCGTTACTCAGCTCCCCTTCCATAGTCCTGAGAAGCCCAGAAAAGTAAATCGGAACTTACTAGCATGAGTAGTTCCTAGGCTGTTGTGGATTTAAATCCTTTTGGAAGGAATTTCTGTACAAGTGGTTATTTTGAAATAGCATTCTCCAGTTAAGTTTCTCTCTTGTCAAGTGTTAACGCTGTGGGTGGTACTTAGGTACAAACTATCTGGGTTTTCTTCTGCAGATTGTGACTGGAGGCTACATGTGCTGCTAATGATATGAGGAAGGTTTCTAGAGACTAAACTAGCACTTAGCGCGCTCAGAACCAGTTATGTAGGCATGCTTTATTGAGAACACCTTTTATCTGTATCGGTTAATGTTTCTGTAAGCACGCCTTAACTTCAGTTGTTACTGTTTGAATCAGCTTACGTCACAGTAACAGTATAAAGCAGTGTTAATTATTGGCCACTAACTGCTTTTTCCTGTTTTAATATTTGACATAAATACATAGCTTTCAAAGTAGCCTTTCCCCAAGGTAGCTTTTCGCCTTTTATTATATGAATTTGTTTTTAATGGCAAAAAAATTGAACTTTTTGTGTTAATGAGTACCTAAAAGCAGTATTATGAGGGAATTCAGCGTTCTTTGTGCGTGTAATTGTTAGACCCCCTGCCCTCCCCAGCTTCATTGCAGGGTAGCTGACAAGGTCAGTTAGATTTCTAGTTCCAGTCTCCCCTACAACTTTATAGCAGCCCTGTGGGCTTCTTTTCCTGTTAGCCCCAAACCTTCCCACACATCCTCTCCACACAGGGAATTTCCTGTAATTTTCGGAATGTCCTCTTGAGACTTGCCTTACAGGTCGTTGTAGACTGTCAGCTTCTCAGGAATGGGTAACCAGGCGTGGGGGCCGGACCTACTCAAACTTAAAAAAGAAAGTCTGATGCTTACCGGACCGTCAGACTCAGGCTTCCTCCTGGCTTCCGAAGTAGAGCCTGACTGGCTTGTGTTCTGTCACCTCTTTCCTGTGCCTGCCCTGATGGTGGAGGCATTAATAAGCAGCACGTGGAAGTAAGTGTGGAGGAAGAGGCGAAGCCAACAGCCTCAGTCACTCCCAGGCTAAGCGTCAGGCGTCTAGGTGCCTGCACACCTCACCATGTGTAAAATGCCTCTCAAGAGTAGTCGGCTGCCCTGCCATGCCTGGCTGAGACTGAGAGTTTGTTCCACTGTGATTGATACGTTAGGTAATGATACAAACACGATGCTAATTTTGCATGAGCTTATTCGTGATTCTGCTGGCAAGCAACATTAGGCAAATGCAGAAAATACCCAACAGAACCAGTGTGGATACGGATGTATAAAACATACATAGCCATATGCACACACCTTAAACATCTTCCCTTACGCAGTTCAACATGTGTTTTGAGCCATGCCCGCCCACATCTGATGTTTCAACTTCCCACCCATTTTCTAGTAACCGTCTGTTATCATTCACAATGCTATGTCCTTGTGATGACCATTTCTACAAGCCAGCTTCATATGTTTAAAGGCATGGTGCCTTATATTGTACAGTCGGTCATGCATTTCATAACCATTCAGCACACATAATACTCCGCTGCTTTTAAATTCAGGTTCCTTCCTTCTTTGGTGTGTCACTTTTGACGTTTTTATGTGTGATGCCCCAAACCCCATTTTTCCTGTAAGCCTTTACAGCCACAGGACCTTTGCACAGTTTTATATAGTGTAGCTGCTGGCTTTAGAATGCACTTTCTTGTTTTAGCTGAACTGGTGATACTTATCAACTGGTGAGTCCCAGAAAAAGAGTGTTTAGACTTATATTTCCATGTCTTTGATGTCCTTCAGCCTCTTAGATTTACACACACACACACACACACACACACACACACACACACGTACGTACATACCTGGAAGAGGAGGACCTTCACGTTATGAAGCAATGGACATCACTGAGTCAGTGCAGACATGGGTTTGTATCAGTTACTGCTATTTATTGTTGTTGGTGTTACAGCTTCAAAAAACACGTTCAAGTTGTCAACAAACAAGAAATGAGTAAGGTCATCTCAGGATGTTCTTCAGGTGACACACTAGGCTTTAAATGTTACTTGTTGTTTTACTAATGATTCTTTGTTTTCTTCTTGATGCATCCATAGTTTCTGAACAGACATTACAGTCAGGTACAGTATAGAAAAACCGATATATAAATAAAACCAACCTTTTCGTTATATTTCTAAAGCTGATGTTGTGCACATACAGATATAATTTTATCTTCATGATATTTCAGGATAAATTAATGTTTTGTTTTACTCTGAATAAAAATTTTAAGTTTGCAGAAATCAAGTATTTTATTCAGGGAAGAAATGTACATGATCCTTTATCTTCCTGCATCATAGGCATATGCCAGTGAAAGATAATTCAGCTAGATTAAATTCACTCTGTGTTTCCTTGAACGTTCTCGTTGTTAGGCCCTGCTCTTCATCGGCTGCAGGGGAAGGTCTAATAGGACTATCTTGCATTGATTCAGATAGTGCCCATGCTGTTTATGGCCACTCAGCCTTCATGTTCTCACTCTGTGGGTGACTTGTTTAACTACAGACCTGCAGTAGAACAAGGTCTAACCGCTGTTCACTTAGGACAGCAGCAGTGTTGTTCAGCAAGTCAGAGCAGGTGCATCGGAAGGACTTAACAGAGCTCCTCTTTTTCCTGCCTGCGTATTCATAGGCATCTCGTCCCTTCATTCTCTCTGGGCCACGGTCTTGTCTTTAAGGTTAATCTGTAGCAAACAGGACAAAGCAAAGGCCTTGCCAGAAATTTAGCCGGAAGCGCTATCTTCTCTTCCCCTTCCCAGGATGTTTGCCTGTTAGCATGTGACTCCTTTTTGTTTTAAAGGAGAGTGGGGAGAGAGCAGGGGTTAGGGTTATATAATGAACACCGTTTCTGTAAGGGAGTGGTACTTACATACAGACATCTGAGGGTTTAGCAGACTCATTTCCTTAAGCACATTAAGGTGCCAGAACATGTTAAGAATAAACTAGGATTATGCTTTACCTTCTTATTCTATTTATAAAGTGATTTGACCTTATTAATTCAAGCAAGATGGCAGCAAGATGCAGTCACAGAATTGAGTGGATTTTAAATGGTGTTTTCATAGTGACAAATGACTTTAACGTTTGTAATAATAGAGAATGGTAGCTGTATTGACAAGAAAGAATAAATGGTCTGCTTTTGTTATCACTCAATCACCTCTATAAATAATCAAATCAGCTAGGAAGAGGTTTAGAAATGTACACATCTGCTCTCAAGATAATGGGCTGTGACAGAGTCTTTCTCTGTTCTGCCTTCCAGCTCCCAAATAATGGCACAGAGGCTTACTGTTAATTATAAAAGCTCAGCCCTAGCTCATGCTCGTCCCGCTAGCTTTCCTAACTTAGATGAACTCACTTGTACTAATCTGTGTTTTACCGTGTGGCTTTTTACCGTATCTCTGCTTCCTCCATGCATCTCGCTTCTCCTGAATGCCTGGTTCCTCCTCCTCTTTCTCTTTCTGCCTGGAAGTCCTGTCTGTACCTTCTGCCTACCTATGGGACATTCAGATCTTCAGTAAACCAGTCACAGTGTACAAATACCCCACAGCAGTGGGGACATGGTTATCATCCAAATAAATCTTTGGTTCCTTCAGGGGGCTCAGAGGTCAAAACTGTATTCATGATACTAATGTCTTACCTTCCCCAATCCCAATTTCTCAGAATACTGCTAATTTTGGATATCATAAAATAACATAGTAAAGTGATGTTATTTGGTAAAATGTGAGAGATTACATGAAAATAAGCCAGCGAGGACAGTGGTCCCTAAAGGCATAGTGCAGTCTTCACTACGGGGATGGAGGAGCCTTGTTGAACAGTAAAGAGCTGGAGGAGACGAGGGCGGCGGTGCAGGCTGTGGGAAGTGCGGTCTGGCAGCTGTGTCAGAGGAGCGAGCCTGGCTGAGTGGTGAGTGAGCAGAGGGGCCAGAGAGAGCCCGCAGGCTGTAGACACACTTGCCCCTCTCGGTAAGAGGAGCAGTCAGCAGGGCTTCACCTCAGCGCCTCACTTCCTTCCCTAATGCTCATTTGTGTGAGGGAGCCATTGTTCTTCAAGCCACCTGTCAATAATTTGAATCTTAAATGAGATGTTTTTAAGTATTTTTGTTTAGGGAGGAAAAAAAATTTATATTTCACCATACTCTTAACAAAATTGTAAGTCAATTGCTGTGTTCCTAAAAAAAAAAAAATATGGCGTTTTGGTTTTATGTATTATAAATCGGCATTTATATATATAAACCACAGAACCAGAACTGTTCCTCCCGCATGCTTTATGTTGCTGCAGTCATTCTGTGATAGTTTTTATGTCCCAGCTTTAGTTTCATTGATTCAGTGTGGTTAACGCCTCCGGCTGGGCTGGCCATTTAACGCTGGTGTCTTCCTTGTGCCTGCGCATGCCCTTTACTTCTGCTTGTGACAGTAATTGAAAATGGTTTACTGCAGCTAATGTTCTCTTGCATCTTATTTTCAATTAGCATCTTCCAAAGTCTTAAAGAACATGTGTGAGAACTTCTACAAATACTCAAAACCCAAGAAGATTCGAGTGTGTGTTGGAACCTGGAATGTGAATGGTGGGAAGCAGTTCCGCAGCATCGCGTTTAAGAACCAGACGCTCACGGACTGGCTTCTGGATGCTCCCAAGTTAGCTGGCATCCAGGAGTTCCAAGGTTGGATTCCTGTAACAGGGGTTAATTAAGTCCGCAATGCGACACTTTACCAATTTAGAAAGAAACTTGGTCTTCTTTAGTTTGAAAGCCAACATCTTAGGATGGATGGATGGATGGATGGATGGATGGATGGATGGATAGATAGATAGATAGATAGATAGATAGATAGATAGATAGATAGATGATAGATAGATAGATGATAGATAGATGATAGATAGATAGATGATAGATAGATAGATAGATGATAGGTAGATAGATGTTAGATAGATGATAGATAGATAGATGATAGATAGATAGATAGATAGAGTCTTACCTCACTTTTTATTTCTAGACATTTTCTACTTAGTAACTAAACAATGGTGGAGCTGGGTTTGGTGGCTTACATCTGTAATTGAGTACTCTGGAGACCGAGGCAGGAGGATCGCTCTAAGTTCTAGGGGAGCCTAGACTTCACAATAAAACTTTGATTCCTAAAACAAAACAAACAAAAGCAAAAATAACAGAAAGTTTTGATTTGGGGGGGGGGCATTTGTTGCTCATAAAATCAGGATCCATGTATAAGTAGACATCTTTAAAGGCAGCCACACATACAAGAGAAACTACTTCTGTTTTCATTTGAATAGACAATAACCAAGATTATTTTGTAGTTGATTACTTGTGTTTTATTTTTCAAACCCAGAACATTCTTTTCCAGGATCGGTCATGAGCAGTTTTATAGAAATTGTAATAACTTGGTTGTGGGGTCCTAGAGAAGTGGTTCAGGGAGAAAAGAGATTCCTGCTCTTCCTGAACGGGGCATTTCTCTGCACAGATGTGGTACACATCAATCCACGCAGGCACATAAGGAATAGATTAAAAAATAGTCCTGGGTTGTTACTGTGGATACTCCGCCACCATGCTATTCCCAACAGCCTTCCAACGTTATTAGAATCAGGGACTTAAGAATCAGCTCAAACTACTTTTAAAAATGGTGTATCATTACCAATATGAAAGGAAATTGTATGAGGTACAGGAAATTGTATGAGGTACAAATTTGCCTTTTTAAATAATTTTTAATCAATCATGTCTTAGCTTTTGGAATTTCCCCAGAATATTTTATTAAAATTGGGCCTTTTTCAGTACATTAATCCAAGTTAGAAATAATAATAGAATGATTAATAATGATAAAAACATTATGGTAGTTGTAGTTTTCACACATTTTATTCTCATAGCAGACCCATTACATTGAGGCTATTATTCCAGTCTCACAGAGGAAGAGCCTAAAACAGAAAGGTCCTGCAGCCAGCATGGCAAATGCAGGAGCTGAGCCCTGTCGATTGCCTTCCAGCATCTGTGTGCCAGGCTGCATCTTACGTGAACTCAGACAAGTTACCTAGGTTGCGTAAGCTCCAGCCTGCCACTGTAAACAAAGGGCAAGAACTGTTTTACACACCACATGCTGTATGACGATGAGAAGCTGTGGGTTTGAGTCTTGACCACAATCCCAGCCAGGAAATGCTTCCCAGTCCTCAGTCAGTTTTGAGAGTCAGTCCTTTAACTGCAGGCTTGATTCACTCCACCTCTGAGAAGGGGCTGTTCCTGCTTTCAGTAGTGCATATCTTAACTTGTTTTTAAGTGACTTAATTTAGTTCTTAAGAATCTTCAAAATAATGTTAAACAGACGTATTTTAGTGGAAAGTAAAGTTAAAGTGATGTAACTCACTGGTGAGTTTTTACTTTTAATACATATTTGGTTAAACTGAAAACACAAAAGGATTCTTACGTGATCTGACATTATGATTTATTGGGTAAGGTTGCCATTTGACTAATGCTATATTTAAAGGTATTTTTGGATACTTAATTATAGATAAGAGAAGTAAACCAACCGATATATTTGCAATTGGCTTTGAAGAAATGGTGGAGTTGAATGCTGGGAACATTGTGAATGCAAGGTAAGCTGGCTTGATAACAGCATTGGAAGATGTAATGAGTTGAGTTGTCACTAAGTGTTGATACTGAGGAAATACATAGAAAGGACCTTTAAAACTGTAAGTAGTATGTTTCTAACTGAAACTGATACTATATTAGAAATTAAGACTGAAAATTATAGATGTTATTTAGAAAGAACAAGAATAATCAAGATGGCTTTTCTGCAAACCCGATAACCTGAGTTTGATCTTTGGAACCGTTATAAAAGTAGAAGGAGAGAGAGACCAGCTCTGCGAGTTGTCTTGTGACCCCTACGTGTGCATGCATGCCCACACATACAAAGAGTAACTTAAAGTGAGAACAGAAACAATGGAGACCCCATTGCAATTAACAACAATGTCTCCTTCCTTCTTCTTTCTTAACATTTATAAATCTGAAGTTGGAATCATGGCATTGTTTTATGGTAGTAGCCTCTTAAAGATTAGCTGGCAGTCTGAAACCTTGTTGTGTCTATTTGTATGTGTGTGAGTGTTTTGCCTGCATGTGTGTAAGTGTCCCACATGCAGGGACTGCCTGCACCAGGTCAGAAGGAGGCATCAGACTCTCATAAAACTGACTTGCCAGTGGTTGGGAGCCGCCTCTGGGTGCTGGGAACTGCATGCGCATGCCCGAGCTGCCTCTCCAGCACTGGTGAGTGAGCTTCTTGTGAGTGAGCATCTGTCAGTCTTTTGCCATGGGGTGATCTTACACTTTCTAGGTCTTCTAGTTCTGACACTTCCTGAGCGGTGTGAATGTACTGTTTTGGTTGGAATCAATTACTATTTCATCAAAATCTTTAAATATTGGGAAATGGCAAAGATAACAGTAGCTGATACAAATTTTATAAAATTTTAACTTTTGCTTGAAAATATGAATTTGGGGCTGAACAGGTAAGGAAGGATATTTGCCACCAAGCCTGATCCTTGGAACCTACATGGTAGAAAAGCAGCTCCTCAAGTGATCTTCAGATCTTCTCTCTCTCTCTCTCTCTCTCTCTCTCTCTCACTCAGGCATACTACATCCATGTAAACAAATAACTTTTTTACATATGTAGAAGAAAATTCCAAGTTTTATCCTTTTTGTTTTGGATTTTTGAGTCTTTTTCAGACAGGGTGTTAGTCTGGCCCCAACCCAGCCATGTCGTTGAGGACGCCCTTACACTTCTGATTCTTCTGCCTTCTTCCCATTTTTACCCGCTGATGGGGACTGAGCCCAGGGCTTCATGCATGCTAGACAAACAGTGCTGGGTGAGCTGCACCCCCTGTTTTGAAATTATTACTAGAAACTAATAGTGTTTGTTAGTATCCTTGTAACAGACAGGACTGGTGGAAGAAATAACTGCCCCAATAACTTTAGTCTGAGTAGTTCTTTCAAGGATGGTGTGCTGTGAGAGGTGGCAGTTAGCTGGGAGCCCAGAGTGCATGCTGCTCCCTCTGCAGGTGGTCGCACGTGGTGTGGAGACATGTGCACTGAGCGTAGGAACAGCCGGCAGCTCCAAGGTGGAGCGTGAGGTTAGCAATGCTCACTACTTCCTCGGAGACAGCTCTAAGCTCTGGGTACCTTACAGGTTAATTTGAAACAGTTCTCATAGAAAATTCACAGAATAAAGTGAACTGTTGATTGTGGAAAGCTTTACATTCATTATTCCTAAAGGAAGTCTTTCCTAAAGAGTTCTCTTTAATAGAGTGGTGATTTCTTTCATTTGTTTAAGCAGTATCTGTGGATAATGTTACTCTAGATGCTACAGATACATCTGAGCGAGTGAGAAGGGCAACACCCTGGTCTTCTACTGAGAAGACACAGGAAGTACCAGTAGCTCAGTGAGTAAATGGGAGAGCGTGTTAGAAATGCGCTATGGAAAACAGTTAACAACAAGGGAAGTCTGGGGGTGGGAGAACTTGAAGTGTGGTATGGGTCATTGTAGAGGTGACTTGAGGAGTGGCCCAAAGCAAATCATAAAGATGTCTTTTAGTTCCAGAACTTGCACTGTAGTGTTGGCCTTACGGTGGCCATGAGTTCTGTCTGCAGACCGTGTGGTACAGGACCTAGGATAGGTCAGTGTGAGCTCATACTCCTGTGCAGTGTTTATGTGACCCGGAAAATGAGAACAAGCAGCACTCTCCTCTCAGTTGGGGGCTCTGAGGTTCAGACTCACTACTCTGAAATACCCCATCTTTTCTCTCTGACTACTCTGAAGAATAATTGAATAGTTGATGCCAGCTCTTCCTGAAACTTAACTACAACAGCCTGTGTTGTGCATCTTCCTAAAGGCCCCTCTTTCATGCTTTGCTAGCACAACTAACCAGAAGCTGTGGGCAGTGGAGCTGCAGAAGACGCTCTCCAGAGACAACAAGTATGTGCTGCTGGCATCCGAGCAGCTGGTGGGCGTCTGCCTGTTTGTCTTTATCAGACCGCAGCATGCCCCTTTTATCAGGTCAGTCACACGGTTCTGTGCGCTTCGCGCTGAGTGACAGGAAAAGTGCACTGTGTGGCATCAGCTCCTCTTTGTAATTGTGCTTTAAAGGGACGTTGCGGTCGACACCGTGAAGACTGGGATGGGAGGCGCGGCTGGAAATAAGGGGGCCGTCGCGATTCGGATGCTCGTGCACACCACCAGCCTGTGCTTTGTCTGCAGCCACTTTGCCGCAGGGCAGTCACAAGTGAAAGAGAGAAATGAAGACTTCGTAGAAATAGCACGGAAGTTGAGTTTTCCCATGGTAAGCTTCTGCTGTTTCTGCTTTCAGACAGACCTTTGCTTGTATTTCATTTATCCTGCATTTTATGTCAGCCAGTTTTGAAGATTTAAAGCAGTTCCCAGACCTATCTACTTTGTCTTCTTACCGTTGGTTCAAGAAACAGCTGATAGAGGCAAGCACGCCTGAAGCAGAGTGAACACATTAAAATACTGTTGTGAACTTCACATGCCGTCTCATGTTTCCAGGGAAGGATGCTGTTTTCCCATGACTATGTGTTTTGGTGTGGTGATTTCAACTATCGAATTGATCTTCCTAATGAAGAAGTTAAAGAGCTCATAAGACAGCAAAATTGGGATTCTCTTATAGCGGGGGATCAACTCATCAATCAGAAAAATGCAGGGCAGGTAAGTACTTACTGGGAAGACGGTTGTGCTACAAAGGGAACTTTTGGAGAGATGGCTCAGCAGTGAGTGCACTTGCTCTTGCAGAAGACCCAGGTTCAGTCCCCAGTGCCCACACATTGAGCAGCTCAAACCACCGGAATATCCAGCCCCAAGGATCCAGCGTCGTCTTCTCTGGCCTTTGCAGACTCCTGCACATTACGCAATGCTCGTATAGTCACGTAGCATAAACACACACAGATAAAAAGAGTGAGAAGACTTTTCTTAAACAAAAAAGAAAGAAAATAAGAGGATTTGGGAGCCAGGGAGTTGGGTAGGGTATTTAATCGCTTCTATGCAACCCTGACGCTCTAAGTTTGATGCAAACCCTGGTGCAAGGGCAAGCACCTGTAATCTTCAGGTAGATAGGAGATGGACAGACAGACAGCCTGCCCGCCCCAGGTGCAAACCCTGGTGCAAGGGCAAGCACCTGTAATCCGAAGATAGATAGGAGGTAGACAGACAGACAGACACAACAGAATCATCCAACTGTCAAGGTTGTGGGGCAGCCAGCCAGGGTGTGCTGCACGGGGAATCAAGGTAAACCCTGCCTCACTGAGTGCAGGGCGAGAACCCACTCCTAACCGTTGTTCTCTGACTGGTGGGGCGCACATGCACATGCCCTCCTCACTCAGCATACTTACACATAGAATAATAAATACACATAGAATAATAAAACATGCAGTTGTTCTCTGACCCGTGGGGCGCACATGCACATGCCCTCCTCTCTCAGCATACTTACACATAGAATAATAAATACACATAGAATAATAAAACATGCAGTTGTTCTCTGACCCGTGGGGCGCACATGCACATACCCTCCTCTCTCAGCATACTTACACATAGAATAATAAATACACATAGAATAATAAAACATGCAGTTGTTCTCTGACCCGTGGGGCGCACATGCCCTCCTCTCTCAGCATACTTACACATAGAATAATAAATACACATAGAATAATAAAACATGCAGTTGTTCTCTGACTGGTGGGGCGCACATGCCCTCCTCACTCAGCATACTTACACATAGAATAATAAAACATGCAGTCAACAAAAATTGTAAAAGGAGGGTATGAATTTTGACAATAACATGTTTTCTTATTTATTAGGAGCTATTTATATATACCTATGGATAAACATACAGAATTATTTTTTTTTCTTGAAAGAATGAAAGATTAGGAATAAGGAAGGAAGGGGAAGAGAGAATTTTTAAAAGTACGTAATTCTTCTGTAAAGGAAAATACATTAATGTGTCTGTAAGATGGCTTTAGGGGATAGCTATAATGTGGACTCTCAGATGAATTAGAAGTGGTGGGAGGCCCCTGGTGTGTATTACCTGGGGTCATCATGTTTGATTTCTTATACCCTGGTGACCACTTCACCTTTTTTAATACCAGCTCCATTATTGGAGGGTGGTATCAGGCTACATCTATATGATTCCCAAGATCTCGTATCTTCTACTTTTTTGAAAGATGGGGCTAGACTGGGAATTGAACCCAAGTCCTCGTGCTTTCATGCTTTCGAGGCAAGTGCTCTCCTCGTCAGCTACAATTCCAGTCCTTCGTAGAGTCCTGAATGTGTCATGGAGCAGGGTGACTTCCTTTATTCGTGTTTTTAACGCTTCATTAGTGGAAGGTTAGGCGATAGGGAAAGGTCACATGCTTGGTTTGGGTGTGGGTGTTGTTACTCAGCTCTATTAGAATGTTCACTGGATAGGTAGGTATTTTGTAGGAGACTATCCAGCACATAAGAATAACAGTATAGGACTAGTGGTCAAGGACATTTGCTGCTCTGTCAGATGACCCTGGATCCAAAGCCCAATTCTGGCCTCATGGATGCTCGTGTGCACACATGTGCACATGTACACACACACACACACTCACACTCACAGGTCAGCTCAGTTTCTGGCACCAACAGACTTAGGTTGCTCTCATCCTTGATCAAAGGGGCTACTTCTTGTAGAGTCAGCAGTCAGTGGAGAGATGCCCAACTGCCAGAGTGCTGAGCAGACACTGAGTGGTCAGCCCTGCATCGTACATCCAGGAGCATCTCAGAGAGACTGAAGGGCCGCAGCAGCATGGGTGCTGTGACAACATGGCTGCCAGGAACCCACCCAGCATTTAGATAAGACAAGCCAGTCAGCATTGCAGCGCCGATGGCGTGGATGATCTCTGGGCTCCACACCTTATGGGGAGCCATTGACAGTTTAGGTGCGGGGGGGGGGCATTATTATTTTGAGGCTGTGGTGTGGCCACTGGTAGGTTTGCCATTCTCTAGTGCAGTGGTTTTCAATCTTTGCGTCATGACCTTTTTATTGGGGTCACTGAGAAACACAGATATTTACATTATAATTTATAGCTGTAGCAAAATTACAATTATGAAGTAGCAACATAAACAATTTATGGTTGGGTCATCACAACATGAAGAACCACTGTCCTGGTGGATGGCCTCACAGGCATGCACATATGTACAGCACCGATCGGACTTTATGAGTTATCAGAAGAGGATGCTGGGAGGGAGGGGGAATAGAGGGCGAATACGGTCATATTTCATTGCTTACATAGTCTCCAAAATCAAGACTTAAAGTAAAAACCTGAACATCTTATTGCTTTGGAATAACCCTGTGTATGTTTATTTTAGATTTTTAGAGGATTTTTAGAGGGAAAAGTGACATTTGCTCCAACCTATAAATATGACTTGTTTTCTGAAGACTATGACACCAGTGAGAAGTGCCGCACCCCTGCGTGGACAGACCGGGTCCTCTGGAGGAGGAGGAAGTGGCCGTTTGACAGATCAGGTGAGGGGTGCACTTTTCCATTTAGGCGAATTCATGTGGACTTTGGGATGGGGAGATGATGAGCATGAAGCTTTCAGTGACACGATTTCATGTACAGCGAAGCGAGGAAACGTCTGTTTTGTAAAACTGCTGCTTGCAGTTGTGAAAGTGAGGGGCTTGAGCTTCTATGAATCAGGGTTTGTTCCTACCCAGGTCCCAGTAGTCTTCGAAGTGGGCAACATTTCCTCTCCCCCGTAAAGAGGAAAATAACGTGGCAGACATGTCTCTATAAGATCTCTGGGCTGTCTGCTTCCGGAGTTTTGGCATGTCCGCCTCAGACTGCTGAAGGCTCTCCAAGGAAGTGACACCTGTTTGTGTCATGTGACCTCTCCTACTCATGTGGCCTCTCTTGAATTATCTTTTATTCTGATTGCAGCTGAAGATTTGGATCTTCTGAATGCTAGTTTCCAAGATGAAAGCAAAATCCTTTACACATGGACCCCGGGCACTTTGCTGCACTATGGGAGAGCCGAGCTGAAGACTTCTGACCATAGGTTTAAACAGCCTCAGTTTTTAATGATGCTTGAAGTTTGTTTGAAATACACCCTTTAGAAACGTTTCTAATGCATCTCCTTTGTGCCTTAAGGCCTGTCGTTGCCCTGATTGATATAGATATATTTGAAGTTGAAGCTGAAGAGAGACAAAAAGTTTATAAAGAAGTCATTGCAGCCCAGGGCCCACCAGATGGCACAGTACTGGTGTCGATCAAAAGCTCTGCACAAGAAAATACTTTCTTTGACGATGCTTTGATTGACGAGCTCCTGCAGCACTTCGCACACTTTGGTGAAGTCATACTCATCAGGTGAGAGAGGCGTCCGACCCAGTTTCTACACCAGAAACCCTAATCCAGGGACTGTCTAGTGTGTAAGTGTGACATTTCCAAACTAGAGAACTCCACTTGGGGTGTTACTCAAGAGCTCCTAGGTTTTGAGTTATCTACTTAGGAAATGTAAAGTGAACTGTGAAGCTTTCCACGAACAATTGGAAACAAAGGCATGTTTGAGTTCAGGAAGGACCTCATCAAGGTTCCTGTACAGGAACAGTGTAGAGCGAGCTCTGTGAGGGTGAAGCTGTGGTTGGTAACTTTAGTGTTTAAGAGAGAGAAAAGTAAAGGGACCAGTACCCCAGGATTCAAGAGGTTGAGGTAGGACGATCATGAGGTCAAGGCCAGCAGACTACATAGAGAATATGTAAATAACTACCTGTAGTAAATAAATAACCCGGCGGGATTTGTTGTTATTCCTGAGGTTAAGAAAGGTGATGTTTAAGGTCGCTATAAATAGTAACAGAGATGTGAATTGTAGGAGCCGTCTGTTCCAGGCTCAGCTCCCTGTTGGCTAACCATGTGCTGTCTGCAGAACTACAACCTCTCGTTTTAAGGGTGTTTTCTTTCACATGTGCAACAATTGAATTCCATGGGGAAAGGAGCACTACTCATTTCCTTTGTAGTTCATTGGCTTCTGGCATGTTTTATGTGTGTTCAAACCTCCATATGAGATACTGTAGAAGAGCAGAGGAGACCTCAAAGACATGGCATGTGCTTATCATGTGCTTGGGAAAGTCCCTGTAGTGGCTTCTCCAGGTCCATAGGATGAAGATGGGGAGTCTCTGTGGAGTGAAACTCGTGCCTTAGCCACACAAGGGCCTTTCAGGGAGCAGAGGGACAAATGGAGAGAAATTGTGTTTAGACTTCAGATCCTTTGATTTTCTTACTCTGTCCCCCACATCTTGGAGAGCAGTCTATTTTAAGTCTTCAGAATCTTTATAAAATCTGTGCCTGAGAGATGGCTTGGTGAGTGAAGGCACTACCTGAGCTCCATCCCTGGGATCCATTTGAGGATGGAAGTGGAAATCAGCTCCACAGATTTGTCCCCTGACCTCCACATGCATGGCTCGGCAATAATGAATTAATTAGCTTCTAAAAGATGGGCAAACTGAGGACAGCTCTAGAAAGTACACTGTATAGTCTCCAGGTTTACAGATGACAGGAATGTCAGACCACCGGAAACATCTGAACTGTGTGAGTGGCCAGCAAGTAGCTTCCTGAGCAAATGTAAAATACAGCATTGACCTGGAAGACTCTAAATGGTGGCAGAGAGAGACTTGGAAAGGAGCAGGGACTTGCATCTTTTTAAGTCACTGGGTTCCTTCTGGTTCAGAGTGGAAGCTAAGAACTTTGCTCAGAGTATTGTCAACATCAGGGAAATGACTGGTAAGAAAACCGGGTGTTAAGTGATAGAAAGCCATGGGACACCCAGCCGATAAAGGAAAGCAGATACTAAAAGTAAAGTAGAGGTGTGTGGGGGGGGGGGGGAGGACAGCTGTGGCCATAGTGCACTTACCGAAGAGCAATCAGTCATGTTTGGAGCCCTGACACGGGCACATCTAAGGACAGTCCCGCAGAGGCTAGGTGTCCCCAGACCAACCATTTGGTAGGATTTAAGTAAGAATGCATCCCTGTGTGTTTCAAATGGCAGCATTCTTGTAACTTAAAACTTCATGCCAGAGAAGCTCCGTCAGTTATCCTGGCCCTGCCTGAGTGATTATAAGATGTGGTCCAGGGTTACTGAACTTCAGTAGCATAGTCTGGCACACTTTTATTTCATAGAATCCATAATCTTTTAGACTCTAAGCATGAGACAAAGAGGTTTTCTCCATACAGTTGGGGAAATTCAGTTTGCAGAATTTCTTTTGTAAATAAGACAGATAAACTTTGCTTTATTCTTTGGTGATAAACGTCATTATATAATTAGTGACTCTTCAACATGTGTCCTTTGTTTAATTTTTTTCCAAAGTATAAACTAGGAGTCGTAGCAAAGGCCCAGAGAGTTGTTTGTCTTGTGCAGATAAACACCCACCTGAAACTCCTGTGACCGTTAGTTGGGTTGTTTGGAAGGAAATGGCCTGCAGGAAAGTCATGGAAACAGTGCAAATGTGCACAGCCAGGAGATGCAGCTTCTAACCCAAGGCTCACCCTGAATGAGGCCCTCTAATGTGTCCCATTTCTTTTTCTTAAAGATTCGTAGAAGATAAAATGTGGGTTACATTTTTGGAGGGCAGCTCTGCCTTGAATGTTCTGAGCCTAAATGGGAAAGAGGTAAGATAGATTTGATGACTCTGAACCATTTGAAATGCCTCAGATTGTATTTTTACAAACATGCTATCAGAGTGTCTAAATGTACTTCCAGTTAAGGAAAATTGAAGACTCAACTGCGTGAGGGTTACTTAATATTTTTATGAAGATTAGTTGTCTGCCTAACTATTTAGTTTACCCTTCCAGAAGTTACACATTTCTAAACCCATAATGTGTTGCTTTTGTTAGAACCACTAATTTAACCCAAGTGAGTAGCTTCTGACCTCTGTGCCTTCAGGAGTCCCGAGAGCAGCAATACTTGGAGCTGGAATATGTCCACGGTGTGCCATCTGTGTACACTGACACAGTGTGTCAGTGTCAGCCATAGCTACACAGGTCATTTATAAATACTGTAAAAGTTTGAGTCTTTTTCCGGCCAAGGAACCCTTCAAACAAAAGGAATGTAACGGTATAAAAGAGCTTATAACTAGGAGGCTGGTCTGTTGTATGGTGTGGACTTCTAAGTGAGAGCTTCCCCTGTATGTCATCTTCATGTCTTATGCCCAACAACTAAGTTTTAAAGAGTTTAAAAAATAAAGAGAGACATTGTAACTTGATCATAACATATTGGTGGTTTTAGTAAATCATATTTATGTCTAAAAGTCACTTAAATGTATAAGGAAAGCTGAAGGCTTGCTTTACAAGTTTCAGCCATTCTATTTCCAGAACAGTTAATTCTTATGTAAGACTTAACATAATCTTCACACAACATTCTTCCGACATTTGAGATGATGGAACCATAGGTTAGCGCGTAGCAGCATAGTGCGGGGTGGCTCTCAGGACCGTCATACCAAACTAGAGAGGACCAAATGTCAGCGAGTGCATGCAAGGCTTTCTGCTCATCCACAGTTGGTTCAATGTAGGAGCACTTGTTTAATTTATGTACCCAAACCGGAATTACATAACAGACTATCAGTGGTTTGTGTTTGCCCAGGAGGAGATGCTGGCTAGAGAAAAGGAACCCTAACTACCTTTGTTTGGCATCATACACATTTAAAGGCAGAATAGTGAACAGCCTGCACGTGGGAAATTTTAGTGTGTGTGGAAGAATTTTGACTAGAATCCAAGTTTACTGTTGATGCCACTGCATAAGGTAACATAAGCACCCTACTCCTACATTAGTTTCTGTGTTAATAAAGTTTTCTTCTGTGTCTTTTTTTATACCAACTAGTTATTAAATCGGACTATAACAATTACTTTAAAAAGCCCAGACTGGATCAAGAATTTGGAAGAAGAGATGAGTTTACAGAAAATCGGTGCCACGTTGCCTTCGTCAACAAGCTCCACCCTGCTTGGGGAGGATGCAGAGGTTGCAGCGGATTTCGACATGGAAGGTTTGTATGTTGAGCAGACTTTATCTGCATGTTGTCTGCTTCCTCCCAGCATTAACGACTTTGTATCCCAATTATCTCTCTCCTGAACACAGTGTTAAGAATGGCTTGTTTATCTGATTACATTAGACTTGGCAATTTATATGCTATTTTATCATTTAGTAGTAAATACACTTGCATATTTCAGTTTATATTGTATGATAAAAGCACAGAGTGGTATTTTGAATGTGTCAGTTTGTGCCAGTAATTATAGTTAAGCAGAAGTTCCAAATGATTCTTTTTACTGCCAAAATGATCTCATAATAATTACTACAAAAGAAGAAATGTTCCAGAGAAATTCAGAAAGTCCAAGAGACTCACTTGGAATACATACATGAGAACCTTAACCCATGCATATAAAGATATCTACTTCAGTTGAACTTTTGAGACAAATTAGCTGGGTATTGCAGTTTTCCTAAACATTATTTGAAATTACATTTGCTTTCTAATACTATGTGTGTGAGCATTGTTTTCCTTAGGGTATACTTTGTGATAGAGTGATTACTGAGTGTGTGTCAGGCCCTGGGTTCCATCACACACAGAAATGTGTACCTGACTCTACATTGCTAGAGTAACACATCTAAGCTAAACATCTTTTAGGATAATCACTAGCTTTTATATTGCTCATTTACTTGATCCACACATAAATATGTAACTTTTGGATGCCAAGTTGTGTTGATTCCTTTTCTAGTTCTGGCCAGATACCTTCAGAAACAAGTTAAGGAGAGGGTGTTTATTTTGTCTCATCATTTTAGAGGTTCAGTCCAGGTTGATTGGTCCATACATTGGGAGGCGCATCATGGAGGCAGGAACAGATGGTGGAAGCTGGTCTTCTCTTGTTAGCAGACAAGGGGGCACGCACACGAGAAGGGGTCAGGGCAGGAAATGGACCCAGACAAGCTCCTGCTGAACTAGTCCCTCCAACTTTTTAACACTTCCCGACAGTGCCATTTTCCCATGCATCCATGGGGCATTGGCCCCTTCATTGTGTCAGAGCTAATTGCCTCTGGTGCTCTCACAGACACATCTGGAGGCTGGCTTCACTGCTCTCCCAGCTACTTAGCCCAGCAAGTTGAATCAAAATTAATCATCATAGAGGTGCATGCCCAAGAAGCTGCAAATTTTGTAACCATAGTCTTTGTTAGCTCCTTCTAGAGCTCACTGTTTGCTGTTTTACACAAGTGTGCAGGCAATCATAGTAAGTGATATCGATGTAATGATGAATGCTAGTTAGTACGGTACCTCACGAGAAAGTTTGTAGTTAAAAAATAAAATCAAGGGGCTGGAGAGAAGGCTCAGTGGTGAATCTGTAACTCCAGTTCCAAGGGATCTGATGCCTCTTGTGGCCTCTTCAGGCACTGCACTGTGTTAAACGTACATACGTGCAAGCAAAACTCTCATGCACATAAAAATAAAGACATTTTTAAAGACAAGAAGAGAGAGTATAAACAGAAAGGAATGGTCCATGATATCTCATACGTCAGAGAGATGAGTAAAAAAAAATAAGGACAGGAACTTGTCTGATTTAGGGAACGGTGCTATTAGTGACTTTTGTAAGAGTAATTTTGTGGTGTGGTGAAACCGGATGGTGAAATTGCTCTGGGTGGAAGGTCAGGAAGTAGGGGTGCAGAGCAGCTGATTTGAAGTGAGAGACCCTGAGAATGCTAGCTAACGGGGCTGGCACGGAGGCGGAGGCCGATGTTGTGAGGGCGCTGACAGAAGACACGCACGGCCTCTGAGGAAGGTGGGGTGTGCTGGGCCTCCTCTGTTGTCTCCATCCATGCCTGCGTATCAGCTGTGTGGTGACGTGCAGCTCGCAGGAGGTACTTGGTGAAGGAGGCTCTATCTCCACACTTCTCTTCATTATGAACTTGAGGAACTCACATTATTGTAGGAATGGGACAATCCTCAGTCTCAGGAGACTTGAGACGCTGTGAGGTAGTGTTTGTGTGTGAGAGAAATAACAAACAAGAAATGAGAACTTTGAGACAACTGGGGGACCCAGGGGAGACGCTGAGGTCTGTGTGCTTTTCTTCAGGAAGGGGCGCGCACCAACCAGGGCGCTGTGGGAAGTCTGATGAAGGAGGGGTTTGTCGGCCAGGGCAGTGGGAGAACCCTGCGGCTGGGGTGGATACGTGAAGAGCTGCCTGGAGCTAAACACAGAAGAGAGCACATTGCACGGGGCTGCAAGAGCTAGGGCGCAAGCCGGGATCTTGGGGAAGGGAAAGAAAGGAGCCGAAGGCCCAAAGAAAGTGACCAGAGAGAGGTGTTGCGGGCTAGTCAGGGCCCCGTCGCCGTGCAGTCTGCGGTGTGCTGTCACAGTGTGGACAGTCCTGTCAGTGAGGACAGTGCCGGGCGCTCAGGTTGTTCCGCTTGCTGTCCATAGGACTTTGGTGTGTGCAGAGAGGGCTGTGACTCCTGTTGCCCAGGGCACCTGACCCCACTTCGCAGCCCTTAGGCAGGTGCCGATGAAAAAGCTGGAGGCTGGAGACTTCTGGTTACGACAGCAGTCCTCAGCCTGTGGGTCACGACCCCTTTGCGTCTTTTAGCCGTGGGAAGCCTAATCTGAAGTTCAAACGTTGGTGTCGTTGCTGGCCTTGCTTTTGGTAGGTGACGTCGATGACTATAGTGCTGAAGTAGAGGAGCTTCTTCCTCAGCATCTACAGCCATCGTCCAGTTCTGGCCTTGGCACTTCCCCAAGTTCCTCACCCCGGACCAGTCCCTGCCAGTCTCCTACAGTGCCAGAGTACTGCGCACCGTCTCTTCCCGTCAGACCAAGCCGCGCACCATCGAGAGCTCCAGGCCCTCCGGGTTCACAGGGTACGTACTTCACTTTAAATGTCTGGGACTCTGTCTAGCCAGCTTGTTTGAACTTTGGAGAACTGTTGTATCCTAGTTTTATTTCTTTTGCTGTGATAAAAACACTGACCAAAACAAGCTTGGGGAAGGAAGGATTTATTTGGCTTACAGGTTCATTAAGGGAATCCAAGGACAGGCGCTCAAAGCAGGAATCTGGGGTCAGGAGCTGAGGCAGATGCCATAGAAGAAGATTATGCTCCCTGGCTTGCCCCCTATGCCAGCTCAGCCCACTCTCCTGTCCCGCCTGGACCACCTGCCCAAGGGTGACACCACCCACAATGGTCTGGGCCTTCCCACACCAGCCATTAATCAAGGAAATTGGCCCTCGGGCCTATCTGATGGAGGCAAAGAATTCCTCAGTTGAGTTTACTTCCTCCGCTGACTCTCACACGTATCAAGTTGACAAGAGCTAGCCAGTAAGCACTGTTGAGCTTTTCAGCCCATGCACTGAGTGCCCTGTAGACAAGAGGCAGCTTTCCCCGACCATAGATAACTTAGTGGGCACACTTTCATCATCGCTCACTAAATGAGAATCCTATTGATGTGCTTAAGATTGTGTTTCACAACCTGTGATTTTCTATCTTACGATAAGAATGCTCGACTATTAGGGCTCTCCGCCCCCCCCCCCTTTCTTTGATGGCCAGCAAGCTGTGTATGACTTAATTCAAACAGTAAATTTTGTTCCTTAATGGAACTCCTCAGCAAATCACTTTCAGCATCTTTGCCATATAAGAGGTCAGCGTAGGGTAGCACCATGGTGCTCATGGTTCCAGAAGGTAGTTCCATGTAGACGGTCACTTTGTCCCATCCACGCTGAATATGGTTTACTTTGTTTAGTGCACACACGTGTTAGAGGAGACAATCGGGGCATTGTTGGTTGCATGTGCCCATCCCTTCCCACCAGCCCCTGTCGGCGCCTAACATGACCTGCTCACTTTGTAGGTTCCCCGGTTGACAGTCAGCCAGCACCCCAGAAGGACTCTTCCCAGACCTTAGAGCCCAAGAGGCCACCGCCTCCCCGCCCAGGCGCTCCTCCAGCACGTCCTGCCCCGCCGCAGAGACCGCCTCCACCTTCAGGTAACCAGTTACTTAGGGTGCCTGCCTAACTTAATCCTCCTCCTCCTCGGAAGAGCATTGTGTGTGTTTGTGCCGCTATTCTCCGGGATTGTGTGTGTGTTATGATCATTGTCATTCCTTAAGCTTTCCTGAAGGACTCTAAGGAGCAACAGGACAGTGTGTCATGTCCGGCTGCCTCTCTGCCTGTGCACTGGAGAAGCTTGTCTGGGTCTTGCTAATTTGATATGCTTAGGCATGTATGATGTTCTTGGATTAAACTGGGTTTAATTTTTTAAATTCCTCATCTGAAGCTTTATAGACAATTAACATTTATTAATTTATGGAAACTTTATTTTAGAACTGAAGAGCATACATGTTTTTAATATGTTTTGCATGTCTTTAAATGTTCTCTTAGCTACATACAGTGTTTACTTCCTGTGAGCATAAGCATTGAATGATAGTTTTGTGTATTGTCTAGATTTTACATAGTCATACATGATATGTGCTATCATGACTGTTGGAGCAGATCTTGACATTTCAACTCTTTATTTAATGTCATTTCCTTTCTGCTGCCTTATTTCTTATGAACTATAAGGGGCTAGGAGTCCTGCACCTGCTAGAAAAGAATTTGGAGGTAACCGTTTACATTTGCTATCCATTGTGAATGCTGGTTTATTACTGTTTTGGATTTGGAACTCTATAACTCAGGAGACAACCTTAGGCCTGTTTGGCAAGGGTCAGAATGATTGACATTTATACTCCAGGGTATAAAGTTCCAAACATTAATATTTCTGTTAACATATTAGAGCTTAGTTTTATCTGTGAGTAGAACTAATAAACTTTATCTTATTTTTCATTTTGAATAACTCATCAAATTGTTGTTTCATTTGTTTATATAAAACTATGATTTTTCTTTTCAGTGAGGGAAACTTTATTCAGTACTGGATGCTTTTATTTAGAAATTAATGTATGCTGGGCAATGGTGGCACACACCTATAATCCCAGCACGTGGGTAGCAGAGGCAGTGGATCTCTGTGAGTTCAAGGCCAGCCTGGTCTAAGAGTGAGTGCCAGGACTGCCAGAACTGTAACACAGAGAGACCCTGTCTCGAAAAATCAAAAAAAGTAATAATAATATGAAAACTGAAAGAAAGTAGGGCTGGGAATGTACCAAGTGTGCTTACCTGACATGTGCAAGCCATGGATTCAGTCCACAGCACTTATGCACACACAGAGGTGAGACTGGCAGCTCATTCTGAAGGGCCTGTTACCCAGAACATTTCCTCATAGGTAGGTAGGTAGGTAGATAGATATTAGATAGTTAGATGATAGGTAGGTAGATGATAGATAGATAGATAGATAGATAGATAGTAGATAAATAATAGATAGATGATTGATAGATATTAGATAGATATTAGATAGTAGATAGTTAGATGATAGGTAGATAGATAGATAGATATTAGATAGATAATAGATAGATAGATGATAGATAGATAGTAGATAGGTGATAGATGATAGATAGATATTAGATAGATGATGGATAGATAGATGATAGATAATAGATATAGTAGATAGATATTAGATAGATGGATAGATATTAGATAGATGATAGATAGGTAGATAGATAGATAGTAGATAGATAGTAGATAGGTGATAGATGATAGACAATAGATGATAGATAGGTGATAGATGATAGATATACAGATTCTTCTCAGAGCTTAGCAGCTCCAGCATTCATGCTCCTAAAGGCCTTGTCAGGACAGAGTTGATATCTTCAGCTACCTGTCATTGTTGGTGAACTGAGATTTAGGGTCAGTTGTAGCCAGCTAACACTGCTTAGGTAAAGATTTTGGTGACTTTGTAATAAGGATATCTACATGATTTGAACAGTGTAACTGTTAGGAAACATTTTTTTTTTCATTTCAGAATTCCATTTTACTAGGAAACCAATCTATAGAAAATAAATTTTTAAATGAGTGTGTGAAAACTTGTATCATATATTAGCAAACCAGTAGCTTATTTAGAAATGTGTTTCCATTTTAAAATGCCTCTGTTCATAATTCTTCTAGAGTTTATCTTATTCTGCAACTAGTAACCCTCTGAGACAGTAAGTCCAGAGAATACATCAGGTACTAACTCCTAAGAGTTATGCCTCTTCATAGACATGTAAGATGGACTTGAAACTTCATTTGTGATTATTTTCCTTTTGACTGTGGAATAATGTATTAGTAATCTAGATTTAAGAAATGATATGATTATAAAGTTTTGCATTAGACATTTTGGTTCCTCGCTGCTGGTGATTTCAGATGTGCAAAGGGAGCTGTGGCCCTTGCTTCTGCTCTTCCATTTGAAGAGTCAGTTTTGAGATGAAGTCGCTTTGATGACTTCCAAAGATGTCAACCATGAGGGACCCTTCATGAGAACAGCTGTGTGCCTGCCTTTCATCCTGGGCTCTGAACAATATATAGCTTTTGTTCTTTCTCTAAAAAGGTGTTGGAGCCCCTCCCAGTCCTGGGGTAGCTAGGAGAGAGATGGAAGGTAACAAGACTTTTGCATTATAGATATGGTTCTTGTTCTAAGTGTCAGCCCCTCCAGTGTTTCATTCATGGCTTACTAAGTCTTACCAAAGTCGACCTCTCCTGTCCTTACACACCTTGTGTTTTCTCTTTCCCGTGTGTGTTATATGTATATTTAGTTTCCAATGGTTATCCATTTAATGTCGCATCCCTGACTATGAAATTACTGTTGCGAGAAGAATGATTTCATTTTCTTTTCTTGAATAAGTCACATGTTTACCAATGCTCTTGATTAACCTGAAGGTTCATAAACTAGTAACTGTAAGGTCCTAGAATCTAGTATTTTTATAGATTTTCTTCTTTAAAAGGTGTTTCTAAATACTGTGGTACTGGACTAGATTTGCTTAAAGGGCCACTAAAATTGGGGCCATTTGTTAAGGCTACAATTATTTATGGACTGCTGTATTTGGTATAACCATTGTACTCGAATTACTTCCCAAGATGGCAAATCAAAGATAACGCTTGGTGGTGTCTTTTACTCTTCCTGTCCCCCAGAGTAATTTTCACTTTATCCTTAGGCCACCTCCCTGAGTTTGAACCATACTGTAACTGTATATAAATATGTGTGCACCTGTCTTCTGTCTTGACCCTGATAGTCTATTATAGATTCCAAAAGACCTCACCCTTAGATAACTTTACCCACAGTCATCCTGTACTATGACAGGCAAAGCTGTTAGAACTGTGGCTCAGGAGTCATTTGACATCCACGCTGTAAGGAGCAGCTGACCGGGTCTTCAAGGTTCATGGAGAGAGGTCTGCGAAGACTGTCTGTCACCTTAGTGTGACTTCCTGTGTCTCCCATGCAGGTTTCTCTAATACTCCAGTTTCTGTCTTGACACAAAGCTAAATGCTTGTTTTGTTACCGTCTTGTGCCTTTGTCTCTGCTGGCAATGAGCAGTGCAGCCAGGCGATGTTTTGTTGTTTACTTATGGCTGATTCTTTTTCCTTTCTGCTTCAAAGCACCCAAAAGCCCGGGAACAACACGGAAAGATACTATAGGTAAACATATTTGAATGTAGTTACTTCCCCTTAAAACTGGACCATGCACTAGACACTTGGAATAGAAGTACATGATTTCTTACTTCTCTTTACCTTTTTTTTTTTTTTTTTTTTAACTTACTTAAATTTACACAATGTGATGTCTTTGTTTCAGGGCGTAATCAGCCTTCACCTCAAGCAGGACTTGCAGGCCCAGGACCTGCTGGATATGCCGCTGCCAGACCGGTAAGTAACACCAGGCCTGAGTTCCAGTTACAGCTAATCTGTTTGTAACCTTGGAGAGAATCAAGAGACTTTGTATCCAAAAAAAAAAAAAGTACTAAAGAAAGACTTTAATTTATAATACACTACTTAAACTGGTTCTAAAGATAAAAATAGGAAGGCAGATGGCTTACAAGATTTTTTCTGTACTTTATAAATCTATAGCTTTCTGTTTAGCCTATGTTCCGTTATATATGTACAGTTTCTATCCTTCACTCAAATGACATTTCTCTGATCTCTAACAGTTATTCAGAAAGAAAAAGATAGGGCCACAGGGATGGCTCTGTGGGGTGAGGGCTTGCTGTGCAGGCCTGATGGTCTGAGCACCTGGTATCTTATTTCTATAACCCAGCTTTTAGATGGTAGAGGCAAGAAAAGTGCTATTGTGAGCCAAGGCCACCCTCATCTACTTATTAAGTTCCAGAGCAGCCTGAGACCACATTGTGAGACCTAACCTCAAAAAACCCAGACCCAAACCAAAGGAAGTAACTTTGGCTTTAAATAACTATTATGGGCAAACATACAGGGACAGAAACAGTTTTCGCCAACGTGTCTTCTGGCTTGTTTATTTAGACACTTAAGAATGATATTTCATGTCTTAAAAACCAGGGAGGGCAGAGATGGCCCGGTGGGTGAGAGCACAGGCTGCCCTCCCAGAGGACCCGGGTTCAGTTCCCAGCACCCACATGGCAGCTCACAGCTGTCCGAGACCCCATGTCCAGGGGATCTGACACCCTCGCACAGACACATGCAGGCAAGCACCAGAGCACACTTTTAAAAACGCCTGGGAGAGGTTGACTCTGAAGTCTTTTAGTGGGGGAGGTTTGTCTCCATCTTGTGTGCTCCCAAACTTCTTCACTCCTCATGACGTCAACCCTGCCTGTGGTCAGGTCCCTGCCCTGCATTGCAGCCAGCCAGGCACGTATTTATAGCCTAATAGTCTCCCCTGTGCGCATGTCTTTATCTTAATTTAAAGTATAGATGACACAATCACAAATGGAGTTCATGTCACTAGTATGTTCCCATCTCTAGACTATTCCAGCACGGGCTGGAGTGATCAGTGCTCCTCAGAGCCAGGCCCGGGCATCTGCCGGAAGGCTAACTCCTGAAGCTCAGAGCAAGCCCCCAGAGACATCGAAAGGTAGGCATGCTGGGCGCATGCTCTGTGCCACGCCCCTTTTCCACTTTCTCTTCCCACCATGCATAAGATCTAACTTACTCAAAAGGGGGGTCTTCCCCCTTGTGCCCCTGGAAATGAGGCTGTTGCCATGGAGAAGGGAAACAACTAGAAGCCATGGCTTTCAACACACTGCTGACGTGACAATCCTTGGTGTTTCAGGTCCAGCTGTCCTTCCAGAGCCACTGAAGCCTCAGACTGCGTTTCCTCTGCAGCCTCCACTGCCTCCACCTGCTCAAAAAATGCAGGAGCCTCTGGTCCCCATGGTGGCACCCATGCCTCCTTCTGGCGCCCAGCCGAATCTGGAAACCCCACCACAGCCCCCACCTCGGAGTAGGTCCTCTCACAGCTTGCCTGCAGACTCCTCGCCTCAGCTGCAAGTAAGTGTCACTGCTGAGCAAAGTGTCTCTGCACAGCTGTATAGAATAGAGGACAGTGTCTGCACAGCTGTATAGCGTAGAGCACACAGTGTGTCTGCACAGCTGTATAGAGTAGAGCACACAGTGTGTCTGCACAGCTGTATAGTGTAGAGCACACAGTGTGTCTGCACAGCTGTATAGAGTAGAGCACACAGTGTCTGCACAGCTGTATAGAGTAGAGCACACAGTGTGTCTGCACAGCTGTATAGAGTAGAGCACACAGTGTGTCTGCACAGCTATATAGAGTAGAGCACACAGTGTCTGCACAGCTGTATAGTGTAGAGCACACAGTGTGTCTGCACAGCTGTATAGAGTAGAGCACACAGTGTGTCTGCACAGCTGTATAGTGTAGAGCACACAGTGTGTCTGCACAGCTGTATAGAGTAGAGCACACAGTGTGTCTGCACAGCTGTATAGAGTAGAGCACACAGTGTCTGCACAGCTGTATAGAGTAGAGCACACAGTGTGTCTGCACAGCTGTATAGAGTAGAGCACACAGTGTCTGCACAGCTGTATAGAGTAGAGCACACAGTGTCTGCACAGCTGTATAGTGTAGAGCACACAGTGTGTCTGCACAGCTGTATAGAGTAGAGCACACAGTGTGTCTGCACAGCTGTATAGAGTAGAGCACACACTGTGTCTGCACATCTGTATAGTGTATGTAGCACAGTGTGTCTGCACAGCTGTATAGAGTAGAGCACACACTGTGTCTGCACATCTGTATAGTGTATGTAGCACAGTGTGTCTGCACAGCTATATAGTGTAAAGCACACAGTCCTGCACAGCTGTATAGCTTAGAGCACAGTGTCTGCATAGCATAGCATAGACCACGATTACCTTAATGACCAGGGTTTTAAGAGTAAACATGACCTGAAAATTTATTTTTTCCCACTTGAAGTAATAGCACCTTGAGATGACTTTAGTATCATTTGATTCCTTAAATGAATCGCATGCTAGTGGCTCTTTGAGAATTTTAAGGATGTTCTTGTTTGTTCATATGTGTTGCTTAAAAAAGAAAATCTCAGAGATCTTCAGGAGTGCTCAAGAAGTAATCCCAGGTTAGAAGGCAGAGGCAAAAGATCACACATTCAAGGCCAGCCTGATCAACAAAGTGAGCTCAGGCAGATCCCCTGATACAAGAGCCGGGTCCTTTAGGAAAGCCCAAGTGGCTCCTCATTTGTAACTTTTTAAACACTTTGTTTGCTTTAGGCAGGCACCTAATTATATGAGCAATAATATTATAGTCCTCTTATTGCTGAGCTGATGATTTAGTTTGGAGAGAGTCAAAATGTCCGTGTTTAGACATGGGCAGGGCGGTCAGCTTCCTGCAGACATGCCGTGGTTTGTCACTGCCCCCAATGCAAGCAGTAGCTCTTCTCTGTTGAGCTGCAATAGGTTTCTGAGGTTGCTGCCGTCACAGGAGTGCTCACACAGAAACCGAGGTGAGCACACCCTTCCATTGGCATCGCGCAGAAATGGCCCCGTGGCCCTGGCGTGAAGTCATGGGCACGCCTGTTGTCTCTCATCAGCAACGCTTCCAGGGTTAGATGATTGCTTCATGCTTGATCACTACGCATGAGTTAAGTGTTCTGTAGTTACATTCTGGGTTAGTTTGGTTGTATGCACGTAAGTAAAGTGGATAAAATTAAGAAGTACATTTTGCTGGATCACCATATACAAATTCTTTACTTGAAAATGCCATCAAAGCCAAAGTGATGTATAAATTTTTAGAAGTCCATAATTTGATTTAATCTGAAATATTGTATATTGCCAATAGCCTTTGAACATATATTATGAGTAGTAACTTGCATTTGTTTTACAGATAGATGGGTATATTGACCTAATTGGCAGACCAATTCTAATATAGATCTCTACTGCAAAGCAGAGACTAAAATAGCTAAGACTCATATTAGTTACTAGCAGTTGGTACTTGCTAGGCTGTTGCTAAAGAAAGCAATCGAAAAAATTAAGTGTTCTCAGCTGATGAATACTAAAAGTTAGTTTTTTTTAGGTTAAAGTGGAGGTGCTGAAGAGAATAAATATCTACTATTCTTTTCCCTCTTCCTCCAATCTTAAAGACTTATTTTTGTACTATCTACTACTCTTTAGAAAATTAGCAGGAAGGCAGACATCTTCGAAAGTAGCCAATTTGAATACTGTCAACACAGTTTTAAGGCATCTGTTTCAGAGCAGAAGTAGCTTGCTCTACCCACTCTGTAATGTCTGTGTCTCAGGTCCAGTTGGTACTGATTACAGTGCCTTGGACCTTTAATGTAAGCCTGCCCTTACCCTCCTGTCCCATCCCAACTGTTGCGTGTGACTCTAGAGTCATCAAGATGATGACAACTGAAGTTACAGATCGCCTGCTTGTGGGTCAGTGGCAGGACACTGACCTCACGGGCACATCCCCGGTTATCCCCAGCGCTGGGGGGGAAAGGAGGAGGTAAGGGAGTCAAGAGATAATAAGGTATGTCATACATTTAGGGTAGCATCTCTAAATTGCCAAATTTTGTTTATTACTTCTTATACATTTCACTGTTTACAAATAAGTTTCTGTGTTAGGAGATTCAGTATCTTAAGAATATCAGATTTTTTTAAATGCAGCCAGATTTATGTTAAAAGATTGTGATTTCAGTTTTAAACAGCAAAATTGGTTTCTTACCTTGTTGTACCTTCAAACTAATAAACAGTAAGAGAACTGGTTTTCTAAGTCTTTCAGAAAACTTGAGCAACAAGGCAAGGCTGGTCCTGACGTTTTTTAGACGATTGTTTGGCTGTGCTTCTGCAATGTGGAATTGTGTACACGTCTCTAAAACAGTGATAACAGAACTGGAGCTGCCTAGTGCTCAGCCTTGGCACTGCTAAGCTCACAGCCTAAGGCCCCAGAGAGGCAGGGGTATGTCTGCTCTGACAGTATCACCTGCAAGGGCTGCCCTCTTGCCCCTCATGTGACCTAGAGCCACAAGCTTCCCGAGGACCAACTGGGTGGGGCTGCGGCTGGTCTGGAGTTGTCCTAACTCACTTCTCTGATGTCTGTGTTCCTTTTCCCAAAGCAGGAGCAACCATCAGGGTAACAGGTACTGAGTGTTTATCACCTTCCATGTGCTGTCCATCTGTCTCCCCAGCACTAGATGCATGAGGCTCTCATCTCATACATCTAAAGTTCCACCCATTTTAAAGCCACTCCCCCACATTAATAAACTCTGTTACCATACCATAAACTCATATCTGCTTTTTTTTTTTTCCTAGCATTTTGGATTTTTAGGAACTGTTTTAGTTCTTGCTAATGCCTTACCTTTTTTTTTTTTTTTTTTTTTTTTTTTTGCTTTGTTTTCTATGCAAATTAACAAAACTAAAAAGTATAATTTCAAAAAGGCAAACAATTTGATATGAAAGCCTGCTTGGCTAACCCACTTTGGTTCTTGATTTCAACAATGGCATAATTATACCAATGCAAAATCCAGTTTTTTTTTTATTAGGTTTCTTTTGGGGGAAGTCTCCCCCCCCCCAGATAATTTTAGAAGCCAGATTCTGGTAAGAAAGAGTTGGTGATTTAGATTAAAATTAATATTTAATATTAATATTTAAGAAGCCCTTCCAACACCTTTCTCTGTAAAAGCACCCCTGATGTCATCACAAATTCCCAAACCCTGCGTAGATCACACGTTAACTACATTGCAGTAGATGGCGGTGTGGGTCTTGCTGTGTTTCCAAGCTGCTATCATCTGGGCCCTGCTGGGTCCGGGCCCAGCCAGGTCTGGGTGGGTGGTCAAGGGATGTAGGAGGAGCTGCAGTCTTTGTGGCTGTGAAGTTGACCCTGAGCACTCTTCTCTGGCTCTCAGCTCAGGGCACAGCTTCCTTTTGATTTTACAGTTTTTAGAAAGTGGAGTGCCCCCTCCATATAAAGAATCCTTGCCTTTATTGTCTTGCTTGATAGGATGAGGAAGGTCCATTAAGGAAAAATGTAGCATTCAGTGAGTAAGTCTACAGAGGCCAGCTAGTATTAAAAAACAAAGAACCTTTGAAAATTTACTTTTCCAAACAGAGAAGCTCCATCTATAGTTTTAGAATTTATGAATATGTTCATAAATTAGTTTTTATTCATAAAATTGAATTTATATAGGGAATTCAGGTGAAAATATAGCCTCATAGATGGGTGTTGGAAGTTTATTATGCATATTTACCAAAAGCTCTTCTCATATTAAGCTTAAGTTTGTGTTAAAATTTAAAAGAATAGGATGTGAACAAACTGATTATGTTATACAATTCTCTTTCTTACCATTATTGAATGCAAGAATTTATTCCATCACATTTCTTTGAGATTTAAAACATGGATTTAATAAAAGGATTGATTTGGTTATAAATTCTTCAAGAACATAATCTTAACCTATTTCATCCTATTTATTAAACCACCAAAGTGAAGACCTATAGTTACTTTTTAGTTTCTAAATTTGTATAGTTGCTCAAGAAAAGGAGAAATAAAAAATAAGAGAAGTATTAGTAAGAACCAGCCACTCAGCATTCACTCTTTTACAGGTAAAAACAAATGGAGTTTCTGGTGTCAAGCAAGAGCCAGCGTTGAAGAGTGACCCATTTGAAGCTCTCTCCCTTAGTCTGCTTGCTGTATCAAAGGCTCAGCTGTCTGCTCAGATGTCACCTGTTCTAACCCCAGACCCAAAGATTCAGTTGCCTTCTGCATCGCAAAGTAGTGTTAACTCTTTGAGTTCTGTAAGCTGCATGCCAGCCATGTCTCCAGTTCCAGCACGGAGCAAGTCACAGGGGAGTATGGGGAGCTCTGCGAACCCGGTCCCCAGCCTGCCCAGCAGGAACCCTTTCACAGACATGACTGCTGCCCCTGGAAATCCATTCCGAGTTCAGTCTCAAGAGTCGGAGGTAACTTCTTGGCTCTCCAAGGAAGAGCCTGCTCCTGACAGCCCTTTCCCCCCTCTCATGCCTCTCAGTCGGGGCACCAGCAAGCCGTCAACTTCACTTGATGGTTTTGAGGACAATTTTGACCTGCAGAGCCAGCCTACAGCAAAAACAAGCAACCCCAAAGGATGGGTAACCTTTGAGGAAGATGACAACTTTCCTACAGCAGGGAAGTCAAAGTCAGTTTGTTCAGACACACTGGGTAACGCACCAGCTTCATTTGATGATGACTGGAATAAAGGTACAAGTGTTTCTTTCTGTGTGTTGCCAGCCAGAAGACCACCACCTCCTCCTGTCCCTCTGCTCCCGCCCAGCACGAGCTCATCCTCTGCAGGACCTTCCACAACCCTGGCGTCTAAGGCGTCTCCCACACTGGACTTCACAGAAAGATAGTTATCTGATGGGAAGGGAGTTTGTGCTGGTTTGGTTTGGCTGTTTGTTCTGTTCCGTTGAGGTAGAGCAGAGAGAATGGGGCATTAGTTATTCTTTATGTGCAATAAGTGATCATTAAGTGCACTGATAGCTGTGTAAACATCACTAGAGGGTGTGGCAGAGCTGGAGTTTGTGTATACTGGAAATAACAAAGACACCCTCTTAGTAACTGGAGTTCTGGTCTTTCTGTTCAGATGAATAGGAGAGAGCAGGAGCCATTTTAAAAAGTGCTTAAAACTACTTTAAAAATAATCCTTACTCAAAAAGTCACATAAAATCACAGAGAGCCAACACAACTGTAGCTGACATTGCTGCCAGCCCGCTGTGCTCGTGACCATTGGTATTCATGCGTATTTACCAAAGAGCTTCCAGAGTCACAGGGGAACAGTTCTGAAGGCCTGTGTGTGTATACATTGTATGCATATGTTTGTATACACACAGACATACGTGTACACATTTACGTATTAATAACACCTAAGTCTTGAGATACGATTCAGATCTAACTTACCCAGCAGTTCTGACAATGCCGTTTTCAGGGTCCCCTTATCGAAAGGATGGCTGCCTCCCAGGTGCTTAGACACCTTTACTAATTTTAAATCCCAGAGCAGAATAACAGCTTTAGAGAACTGCCATCCTTTATTGTCATATACTCCAGCCCTTCAGATTCACCCTCAGCACCTCCCTCCCCTGCACCTCTGCTCTGCCTTTCTCTGGGGGAGGGTATACGGCAGTGTAGACACATGCCACCAAGCTACACTGCTCTCTGCTGCGTGGCCCTCTCCCTCCCCCCCCCCTTCTGTCTGCTGCTTTGCCCTGGAGCGTTGCTTCCCTCCGGGAAAGCAGCTGTTGAGTGCTCTGACCTGGGAACATAGCCCATTGGCGTTCTCTCCCATGTAAGGCGCCATAACACATCTATGATGCTGCTTTAAGGGTTTAGAGGCTATACCTCACATTTGCTGTGGATTTTGTCTCCTGCACTGCCGGTATGCAACCAGTCTTGCTTTTATTTTGTGAAGAAGTACACAGAATTTTTACAAAAATCAAAACATAGTATTTTGCTATTAAGTAAGCCAGTTGGGAAACTCCCTAAGGTGGTGTTGGGTTGGTTGCCAGTTGAAGTTGAAATCATAGTTACCCATTAAGACTTAATGTTCTTTTTACATAAAGTTACATGCGTACATGCAAGTTCCTACGTCCACATGAACCTTTAAAGACCTGTATTTGTGAGGCTAGAGACAGTTTACGGCTGCCGTCACTTCCATGTAAAAGCACAGCGCACCGCGTAGAGCAATGTTAGGACAGAGCACCTTTGCAAACAAATGCTCAGTGTTATCAAATACTGTATGTATAGAAGCAATCCCCTGCTGCAGCCACAGTTGCTGTCAGCGGTCACCCCCCCTGAGTTTTATATTGTGCTTGTTGGGTTCTAATCATTTCAGCCGTAGTAGCTTTTCAACTGCACTGTTACTATAGCAGTGTGCTTCAACATGTGACTTGACTTGTTGAGACTGTGGCTGTGACACCTGTGTGACTCGTGTGTATGGTATCCACTCCCCATCAGCAAGCTGAGCCACCATTAGGAAACCGAAGCAGTGTGACCCTCAGGTGTAAAGCCACTGTAAAGTCTGTAGAGTAGCCGCTCAGCCCTGTCCACACTGCTGAAAACGCACAGAGAAGTGAAAGCTTGCTACAAAAAAACAAGGACATTGTGTGTGAACATTTACCAGCTCTGGTCAACACAGAGCAGGAAATAGACACTAAGAATCTCTGTGAATGTCTGTTCTCTATAGTAGATTGCTGTTTATATGTATGTAAGAGTTTTATTGCTTATGTGGCAAACAATATTTATAACTATATACTTCATAGAAGTACAGTATTAAAGTCAGTGGTATACATTCTGTACATATCCTGTGAAATGTGCTGTCATATGAAATAAATATATCTGTCTTTACCACTAGCTGCTTTACTCAAGGGGAGTTTTTTCTCGGCCATTTTTTTTTTTTTTTTTTTTTTTTTTTTTGTATTTTACATATGCAAAGTTCATGACATTTGGAGAAAGTCAGTGCTCTTTTCTTTCGTGTGTGTGTGTGTGTGTGTGTGTGTGTGTGTGTGTGTGTGTACATCATACATTCTTCAATAAGTAGTTTATTCTGGAGTCAAATTTGAATGAGCATGGCAGATTTAGATTACCACAAACTCCATGTTGTACCCTGGAAAGCAGTTTCATGAAGTTTTATACTCTATAGACATAAGGCATGGCGAGTTTCAGATACATCAGAGAGGCAGCTCCAGAATGATGCAGGAAGTTTTTCTGTGGTCATCGATGATATTTGATGACATTTTTAACTTTTGGTTATAGATTTTGCAGTGTTTCGGGATGTTACTTCTGCCAGGCGAGAGGCAGTGGTTAGCCGCTCTGGTGCAAAGGCTAGCAGAGGCAGGGAATCAGCCTGGGCAGCTGCAACATTCCATCGTTCCCACATCACTGCTGCATAATCAGCTGCTGAGGCCGCTTCCTTTTTCCACCTACAAGTAATAAATAATATAAAGCACCAAAACACAAAACTATGAGTTTGGAATCATTTCAAGGATACATAGCAATTACCCTCTATGTATTCCTCTATTTGAACTTCCTCTGTCCGTTTGTTTTGTTTCCTCTTTAACACGCGTAAAGCATCAAGGGAGCCCCGAGCTCCCTGAAAACCAGCGCTGCGCCTGCTTGCCCTTGGTGATACTGTGGGGATCAGGCTTGGCTGATCTGAAGCAGAAGGCATTTCCGGGGGGCGATCAGTGCCTGCGCGGAATGGAGTCCTTCTCAACCCGGAAGCCGCGGTGCTCCGCCAGCTCATCTGCGCAGTCTCCCGACAGTCCGCACACCCTCTGGCGGCTTGGCTTGGCTTCCGGTTGCCCGGGCAACCGCCACTTCCGCTGTGCAGCGTCGCAGCCTTCCCCGCGCGGGTTCCGGCGGGGCGCTGCCGGCCCGGCAGGCTCAGCGTGTGACTGTCGCTCCTGGCAACAGCCACTTCCGCCAGCGTGCGCCGTTCTTTCTTCTCCCCCGGCGGACGCGCAAGCCCGAGTTGCGGGGTTCCGCCGCCGAGCAGCAGTTGGGCTCGCCGCCGTGCGCTCAGACCGTTCTCTCGGGCCTGCGGGCCGCGTGTGCCCTGCCTGCCGCCCCGACGCCTCGGCGGGGCCGTCGGCGCAGCCATGGTGGTGCTGCACGTGAAGAGGGGCGACGAGAGCCAGTTCCTGCTGCAGGCGCCCGGGAGCACCGAGCTGGAGGAGCTCACGGCGCAGGTGACCCGCGTCTACAACGGGCGGCTGAAGGTGCAGCGGCTCTGCACAGGTCCTGCAGGGCGGGGTGCAGGGCGGGGTGCAGGGCGGGGTGCAGGGCGGGGTGCAGGGCGGGGTGCAGGGCGGGGTGCAGGGCGGGGGCCCGGGCTTGTGGGGGCTCGGGGAGGTCTGCAAAGCTTGCAGCGGGGCGCCCGCGCCGAGCCTGGATTTGGCGTCCCAGGAAGTGCGAGTGGTCGAGGTCGAAGGGCAGTGGGAGAGGCCAGAAAGATCCGGAGGGACGGGGAAGGTAGCTAGGGTGAGGGTGTCGTGCTAGCCGCGGGGAGGGGGTAACTTTGAGGGCTAAGTCCTGGCTTTGAGACGGCCCATCAAAAGTGAGAGACGCTGGGAGGCCTTGGTGTTGCTTTCTGTCTCCTAGGAAACACGAGTTGTATTTGCATTGTAGAGAACGCCTTAAGACCCGTTATATTTTCCCCTAAGTATACCACGGCTTTCAAAACAGACTGTATGTTAGATGGCGTTTTAAAAAGTAAAGCATTTCGGGAACGAAAACTCCCGGTCTTCTTTAACATTGTAAGTTGAAGCTGTGGTAAGGATGTGAGAGTTGTGAGGGTGAATTTAGAGCCCATGGGTGTGCTGTGTCACACACTAACTTCCCACAGTTCTTAGTGTCTTCCTCAGAGGAAGGCAAAGAAGAAAGAGGAAAGGAAGGCAAGCAACATAGCAAGGCTCAAATTACGTGTGTGTGTGTGTGTGTGTGTGTGTGTGTGTGTGTTTATGCTGGTGTAGGTTTGAACACGTACGAGATAGGAATAATAGAAAACAAAACCATGCATTTGAATAGTAAACATGAAGTGAATTTTCTCACTTTTCAGGGATAGTTGCTGTCCCGGGCACTTTAAATGTTCAAACCTGTCTAAAATACCTGTCATGTGACTAGGGTTCCTGTAAAATCAAACAAGTTAACGGCTTTCTTATTCCGGGAGGGAAGAGCGGCAACACTGGACTCAAAGCCCGGTGCTGTGGAGCTGTGTAGGCTCTGCTCTGCCATCCCGAGCACCCGGACCGTGTCATAGGCCAAGGCTGGCTGCTGCTGTCACCCCATGGCCCTGACATGTCCAAACTGCTGGGAGACCCACAGGCTGCACCTTCACCAATGGCACCCATTGCCTCCTGGCCTCTCTTCAGGGTCCCTGTCCCTGCCACATGATCCCTTCAGTCCTGGGGTTCCTGCAACTGAAGCTGCACCTTCCGCCAACAGCCCTCCCTGGCCTCTTACTGCGCCCGGCCTCTACCTTTCTCCATGACCCCTTCATGTCGCCCCAGAACTAGGACCATGTGGGAGGTGCTTATGCATGACAAGTTTGGCTGCAGGCAGGAGATCAGCGTTGGCAGCCTTAGGACCTCAGCTTCTGTCCGCTGACCCCACGGAAGCATTTCCCAGAAGAGCATTTTGCCTCGATGCTGTTGCTATCTTCTCATCCACGGCTGACTGGTGTGACGTCTCAGCTCCAGCAAGGTGGTTCCAGCCTCTTGTTAATCAGCTCCAGCTGGCCAGAACCACAGATTCTTAATGCAGAAAATCTCGTGAATGGTGTTCTGACTTTGTTTCCCTCTGTCATGAGCCAGACCTCCATCATCTGCATTGCTCACACAACAGCCCGTTAAGCGATGAGCACTCGATGGCGTTTTCCAGCACAGAGTTCCAAACACTCACACAATTGTCCCCAGAACATGGCCAAGTCTGTCATGCTCCAGGATCCTAATGCCAGTTTCTGTCTTTGGTAGCTTTCTGTGGCTGTGGGGGGAGGGGGACAAACAATTTGGGGAGGAATGAGTTTATTTCTTTTTTAATGGTTTAGTCAGGTCAAGATCTCAGCAGTAACCTGGAGGCAGGAGCTGAAGCAGAGGCCACGGAGGAAGACTCCTTCACTGGGCTTGTTTTGTCTGCCACTTGACACCAGCTGCCCATGGGTGGCGCCCCCAAACTGTGCTGGGCCCTCCCATCAATCAATCTAACAGGCATCTTCTCACTTGAAGCCCCCCTCTGCCTAGATTTGTGTATGCTTGTGCCAAGTTGACAAAAAACCAACCAGGACAGTTCCCTCAAATCCTTCCGAGTGATTTGTCTAAGTTGTTTGTCAAGAGTTTGTGTAAAGTTTTATGAGAGGATGTGTGTGTGAGAGAGAGACTTGGGTGTTGTGTGACCTTGGCTTTTTGTTTTGTTCAAGGCTGGTAACAAAGCTGGCTGTGAGCAAGCCCCAGGGATGCCCAGGTCTCTCCCCACCCCCAGTATGACGGAGCTAAGCGCTTTATTACATGGGTTCTGGGATCCAAGTCTGTGCCTTACACAGCAAGCATTTTACCAAGTGAGCCTCCATGTAAGGTCCTCATGAAGCATTAGCCTCAGATCACAGCACTGTAAGTTAGGAAGGCGGGGAAGTTTAAGCAACTGCCATGCCTCTCTCACAAGGTGTCATTAAATGGGGCCATCTGAGATTCTCCTTGGAAATGGCAAGGCTGTGTGGGTAGGCTGTGTGGTAGACTGTGGATAGGCTGTGTGGATAGACTGTGTGGTAGACTGTGGATAGGAAGGAGGCTGTGTGGATAAGCTGTGTGGGTAGGCTGTATGGATAAGATAATGGATAGGATGTGTGGATAGGAAGTGTGGTAGACTGTGGATAGGAGGCTGTGTGGATAAGATGGTAGATAGACTGTGGATAGGATGTGTGTGTAGGCTGTGTGGATAAGATGGTGGATAGACTGGATAGGATGTGTGTGTAGGCTGTATGGATAAGATGATGGATAGACTGTGTGGATAGGCTGTGTGGGTAGGCTGGTCTTTAAGTGAGCGTTAACCTTACAGCTTCTGAGCACAGAGCCTTAGACTGTAGACTTTGGGGGTGGGGTGCAGCACCTGGAGCTCGCTGTGCTTCCGCTGGCTGAGGGTGAGTCGGTGACTTTGTCTTGAGTGCCTCTGGTACAATACTTTACGTGCGCTCCTGTGGAGTCGAGGTGTGAGTGGTCACAGCTCAGGAGTGTGCCGTCCCCTCGCCCGCCTCCGTTTTTCAGAGATGGAAGATCTGGCGGCGCACGGCGTGTTCCTCCCCCCGAACATGCAGGGGCTGACCGATGAGCAGATCCAAGAGCTGAAGCTGAAGGACGAGTGGGGGGCGACATGCGTGCCCAGTGGGGGCTCCGTTTTCGAGAAGGACGACATTGGACGGAGGAATGGGCAAGGTAAGAGGCGCTCTCCCGCCTTTGCACAGGGAGGCAGCTCTTTACGCTGAGAACTTGGAGCCAGCAGGATGGCTCTGTAGATAAGAATGCTTGCATATAACCCTGATGACTGAGTCTGGTGCCCAGCTTCCATGACGGAAGGAGAGAACCAACTCCACAGAGCCCACATGTGCCCCCTGCACACTGGAGCATGCCCACACGTCATACAGAAAAAAAAATTAGTGTGGTCTCATCATTTCTTTGCAAACTTAGAGCATATTGCACCGTGAAACTCCTGTGCTAAAACCCCAGTCCAGGATGAGTCACGCAGAGGACCCCTCGAGAGGCCAGCTGGCACCGCCTGAACTGTCCCCTCTATGGGGTAGACAAGCCATGCGATTGCCATTCCTGTGGGTCAGAATGGGCCAGTGCTGTACGAGTCTCCCTGACTTCAGGGACTCTGAACCCACTGTGCTTAGTTTTAAGCTTGGGAGTTATGATTTGGTGTTGTGTGCCACATTTGGACAGTTATCAGGTAAAGGTATGTGGTCAGGCAGGCACACATGTGTAATCCTAGCACTCAGGAGTGTAAGACAAGAAGATCAGGGCTACATGGAGAGACCGTGACTCAAAACAAGTGTGTGCATGCATACATACATGCCTACATACATACATGAAGTTCTGTTGCCTTCAGCCCATCGCTTACTGCCCGTGTTTGCTTTTAAGCCGCTGTGACAGGGTTGAGTCACAGCGTTAAAGCCTCAGGGGCCCAGCGTATTTTCCCGTCATTTGCTGGTGCTACCCTCTCGGTGACTACTCTGGCCTGTTTTCGTAGCTTTCCCCAAACTGCATAAAAGCCACTGCGGACCTCTCCCTGGTGTGGGGTCTGCCTAGCTTCCCGCGTCTCTTTCCTGTGTCTCCTTACGCCCTGCTTGTCCATTCCAGACTCGCAGGCTCGCTTCTCCTGGCTCGGCAGGATTTTTAAAAACCCTGTGTTTGACAGCTGTCTCCTGTCCTTTTTGTTTGTTTGTTTGTTTGTTTGTTTTTGTTTTTTATTTTTCTTTTTTCAATAGCTCCGAATGAGAAGATGAAGCAGGTTTTGAAGAAGACGGTAGAAGAAGCCAAAGCGATAGTGTCTAAGGTCAGCTCCTCAGTGGGACGGATGTGGGACGGATGTGGACGGATGTGGGACGGATGTGGACGGATGCCCCTCTGTCTTTGAACGGTTGCGGTTAGCTGCCAGCCCACGCCTCGTCCCCTCGGCTCTCTGCTCCCCACCTTCCTGTTGCTCTCTTTCCTGTTGCTCTCTGGTCTTTCTCTGCCTTCCAGGGGCAAAGCAGATAAGCGTAATTGAGGAGGGCCCTGGCTTTCCGTCTTCATGGTGATGACAGTTCCCGCTGCGCACCAGAGGGTTTTGTTGTCTGTGGGAGTGAAGGTCTCAGCCATCACCTGTACTCTTCCGACTCTTCTTGTTCTCTGAAGAGAGCTCAGGGAGCTAAGGAGGGAGTGTGGTGTAGCCCGTAGATGCAGGGTTGGTAGACGCTTACGGTAATGTGCCCTGTGATCGTCTCCAGAGCTAACACAAACCCTGTTCACACATTCTTGGCACTTACTGCTCTTAAGGGCTTCTGGCATGCTGAGAATCAGGGACAGACATTGGATACAGTCTTTAATGGAAGGCCTCTCGAGTCTCTTCAAGGCCTTCTGGCCGATGTCCCTGCAACTCCATATCGTACCCCTGCAGACCCTTGGGACCCATTTCCTGGCTCTTGGTGGGCTCTGGTTGTCCCTTTCCACTGCCACCGCCCAGGGCTGTACCTGTGTGGGACACCCTGCTCCGTCTCCCCCCTCGCTCCCTCCTCGCAACTGCTGCTCGGTGTGGTGTGGGTCTGCCCCCAGCACTGCAGACCTCGCTGGAGCCACTCACCTGGGCCACGGTGTCCTCAGCTCAGCCCCGAGGTAGACATCAGTCGCCTGGAGAGCAGCAGCTGTGGCTGTGTGGCAGAGCCTCTGAGGGTCTTATGTGGGGACCTGTTGACAGTGATGCCTGGTCAACTTTCAGAAACAAGTGGAAGCTGGAGTCTTTGTTACCATGGAGATGGTGAAAGATGCCCTGGACCAGCTTCGAGGTGCAGTCATGATCGTTTACCCCATGGGGCTGCCACCGTACGATCCCATCCGCATGGAGTTTGAAAATAAAGAAGATCTGTCAGGAACGCAGGTGTGCACAGAGATGTGGGGAAAACAGGGTGCTGTGACCCGCCCCCCCCCCCGCGTGCAGCGTGCAGGGCCTCCAGCCAGGCTCCGGGGGCCGGGTGGGATGCGGGGGCCTCTCCTCTTCAAGCTGTTCATGTAGTTGTACGTTGACCCCAGGCAGCACTGGAGGTCATTCAGGAGTCAGAGGCGCAGCTGTGGTGGGCTGCCAAGGAGCTGCGAAGAACGAAGAAGCTTTCTGATTATGTGGGCAAGAACGAGAAAACCAAAATCATCGTGAAGATCCAGCAGGTGAGCGAGCGCTTCTGCATCGCCAGTCGGTGCTGTGTTCACCTTCGTTTTGATGAAGTTTCACACAGAGGCCAGCCATTTTTAAACCCGTGCATACTTTTAGCCCTTGTTGACCCCCAGTTTAAAGTAGAAATCTCCTTTTTGTATGATCTCAACCAAAGAAGCAGGTCCACTTGCAAACACGTTCTAGTGATGAAAACTTCAGCCAGGACGGGTTATAGGGTGTTTGAGGCTGCTGGCGTTCTGTGCTGAGGAGGGCTGGAGGTGTGGGGAGCCATCCACCTGTGTAATTGTGGGAATAAGACTGTAGGTTTCTGTCTCCCGGGCTGTGGCTCTGAGTGTCCTCCCGTGGACGCAGTGGATCACTCGGGAATGGCCGTGTTAGAGATGGCGTCCACTACAGGTCCAGCGCCCCTACAGCATTGTTTCCCTGACCCCATGTGGCTTATCAGCTTGCTGTCTTCGCTGTTGGTGGAGACAGTTATAAAATAAGCACCTGTTAGGCTCTGATGTCCCCTGCAAGGGTATCTCTGTCCCCAGTTTACTCTGCTTTTGCCTTTTCAGAAGGGGCAGGGGGCACCAGCCCGAGAGCCGATCATTAGCAGCGAGGAGCAGAAGCAGCTCATGCTGTTCTACCATAAGAGACAGGAGGAGCTCAAGGTAACCATTGGGTGAGGGCGGGTGGCAGAGCAGGGGGGACAGATATTCAGGGAGGGCAGCAAAGCCAGGGCCACAGCCTGTACCCCGGGCCTCACCCGTGGGTGGGATCCTGTGAGGACCAGACAATATAGGGATGGGCTTTCCGTGCTCTCCAAGGCTGTCACCAGCCCTAGACCCTGGAGGCTCCTGCTGGTGTTGGGGGTGAGTGGCAGGACGTGACCCAGACTCTTTCCTTGGTCTGTGTGAATCTCCTTCCTGAAACGCTGTCTGTTTCCAGAAACTGGAAGAAAATGACGATGACTCCTGCTTAAACTCGCCATGGGCTGATAACACCGCATTGAAAAGACACTTTCATGGGGTAAAAGACATAAAGTGGCGGCCCAGATGAGGCCCGCCACTTAACGAGGCCATCAGAGCCACTGGCCCGCCTTCCTTGAGCAAAATAATTCTAACCTATACAAGACATGGAGGTCTCTATTTTCCTGGTTTCTTTTAGTTTGAATTTTTGAAATAAGTCTTTCATCATTTTAGAACTTAATAAATATATGCTCAAAAGAAAGTGTGCACATGGTTCTGAGTCTAGGGCATCTGTGTTTAGGGATGTCCCTGCAGCCTTGTCCTGGGAACTGAACGCAGTTCCCAGGATTTGCGTTCAGAGGACTTGAGTTTCCATAGCAGGATGGGTTCCGCCGTGGCCACTAGAGGCCGCCAGCTGCAGGCTTGCCTTCCAGGTCAATGGGGTGGAGTCATTTTAAGGCACTGGGGTGGGGCTTCCACCTGTGGGGACATGTCAGATGCTTACGTTACTATTCATAACAGTAGCAATGAAATGATTTCATGGTGGGGTCCCCACAGCGTGAGGAGCCGTGTTAAAGGGTCACAGCATTAGGACGGTTGAGACCCACTGTTCTAGGGCACCTACTTACAGATACGCCCGGGTTAGGCGTGGCTCCCGGTCGGTGCCGGCCCCCATAGGGTCTTATCTGCCAGGAGGAGAGGCCAGCTGTGATGGAGGGTGGTGGCCAGCTAGGCTAACCTGGAGTCTTGATTCTGTAGTTAACCTTTGAAGTCTCCTTCACCAAAACAGGGGAAAGCACCATTCCTGGCACAGCCAGGCCAACTCGGGGCTCAGCGTCCTCTGACCCCGTGCTGCCGATTATGTCCTCGGAACTGATGACGCCAGGTCTTGGCAGCTAGCTTGGCTCTGTGACCACGTGCGGAACATACCTGTTCACTGGTTTTTTTTTTTTTTTTTAAACTCACTGTTCCCCAAGCCACTAACCCACCCCACCCTCACCCCCGAACCTATCCACAAATGAAGTGCACCCCAGACTTCTCCTGTGGTTACATGTGTCCTAGAGACACACTCACCCTTGACCTTGGCCTCCAGGATGCTGGCCCAGTTTAGAGGAAATTGTTCATGCTCCCTGTGAGGGAGAGGGGACACTACTGTTCCCTGCCCTGGCCTTCCTGTTCCACCATCCCTCCCACACGGGTACCCAGGCTTAACCACACCCTTGGAAGGGGTTGTGGGAGCCAGTGGGACAGGTTCCGCCTACTCAAAGGCCACCTTCCCTGGAGCCGGCATCCCTCGCCTTCCCTGGAGTCGGCATCCCTCCTGTGGCGAGAACACAGCCCCCTGTTCTGTCTGTCCTGTCTGGCTGCATCGTTAGAACATGCTGGCTCACACAGCATCATTTATCTAGATGTCCCCACCCCACTTGGGAGACCTTGGGCTTCTGGGAAGAGCCCTGGGCTGAGCCCCAAACCTGGAAGCTCTCCCAGAGGCATTGGCCTCCACCCCCTCTTCACCCTCTTGGGTGGCTGCTCAGAGCGGTCCCCCGCTGTGCTGCTCCCCAAAGCCAGATGTAGCTGGCCATACGCTATGCTTCTGCTATTTTGATTGATCAAATTCTGTGGGAAAAAAAAAAGAGTTTCTATTTCCTCTAACTTTGATTATAATTTTTAAGTTTCTCCTTGAAATGTTTTGGCCTTGGATGACATTTGCTCTTAGAGCCTGTAGTTGTATCTGGGGAGCCGGCTGCTTTGCCTACGCATAGTATGTGTGTAGAACATTCATGCTCAGAATTTCATCAAGAGTGAGTCAAGGCGTATGGTCAAAGCAGAGCTCCTTAGGGACTATGTCAGGGTTGCTAGGAACTGGGGTGCTGTCGCTGGCCCAGACATTGGCTCTGTGTAAGAAGCAGAACTCACCCTCCCGAGCCGCACTTCTCGCGCTGAGGAAATAATGAGCTGATGCAGGAGGCCTGGCATCCCACCGCCCTCCTCTGGGGTACTCGGTACAAATCACTCTCTCACCCTGCCTGTTTCACACTCCGCTGAGAGCCAGAGGCTCCCAGAGCTGTGCCCCTCACTGGCAGTCACCTCACTATTGGGGGTGTGGTATTGTTGGAGGAAGGTGTCACTGACTCTGAGGCCTATGCTCAGGACACCGCCCAGTGTGTTATTCGACTTCCTGTTGCCTGCAAGATGTAGGACTCTCAGCTGCTTCTCCAGCGCCACTGTCTGCCTGCAGCTCCCTGCCGAGATCATAGTGGACTGAACCTCTGAAACTGTTAAGGGGGCCGCCACAATTAAATGTTTCCAGGGACGACCGCTATCTCTGGCCTCCACGGGCACCTGTGCATATGTGGTATACATGCGCATGCGCGCACACATGCGTGTGCAAACACACACACACACACTTTTAGATTTTCAAGGTATTTGAATGGGTTCTTCTTTTGTAATTCCTAATACCTAGAACGTGTGTAATGGCGGGAAACTCCAGCAGTCATCTTGAACCGAGCTGGGTGAATGGCAGAGCAATAACAGGAAAAGCCCGGAGCCACAGCACTCAGGGCCACCTTTGTTCAGCCTTCCTGGAACAGCAGGCAGCCCGTCTCCCTCTGAGCATGCTGTGCCCATCCCTGACATGCCTAGCAAGGAAAGGGAGCAAAGCCAGAAGGGAACGGATACAACTGTGTAGGACTCTAGAAAACCAACATGGGCCACTTCCGCCATGTTATCCTCAAGCTCTGCAAGACCAGAGAGGGGTAGGTACTTCAGACGCATGCAGCTCTGGAGAAGTGGACCCTCTCCACATCGCCATGTTATCAGATTGACAGCTGGGGTGGCTCATCATCCCAGGACCAGTTTCTCAGCTGGCGCTGGCAGACCTGATGTGCTATCTTTACTCCAAGCACGGCCCAACCATCAACACCAGGAGAAGAGACAGCCAGCGTCTTAGTTTCTTTTCTGTTGATGTGATAAAATACTCTGGCAGAAGCGACTTAATGGAGAAAGAGCTCATTTCCAGGTTATGTCCATCGTGTGGGGAGTCACATGTGGACAGCTGGTCACGCATCCACAACCAGAAAAAGAGCAATCGATGCATCACAGTTTACACAGCCCCAGGACCCCCTGCCTAGGGAATGGTACCGCCCTCGGTGGGTGGGTCTTCCAGAGACTTCCTCTGAGGCCCACCTTTCAGATGATTGTAGGTTTATTGACAACACTAACCATCACAGGCTAGGATTGTAGCTCAGAGGTAGAGCACTTGGCTAAGCGTGTGCAATGGCCCAAAGCCAGGAGGAAAAAAAAAAAATCAGACTAATGAACGCTATCCAAAATAAAGAACTTTTAAAATGCAACAATAAGAAATAGCTCAAATTTAAAAATGATCTAAGTAAGGAGTTGTTCGAGTGAAAATAATATGTTGGTTAGCATTTACTATGCTAGATCTCCTCCAGGACCTTGATGAAAGGCCAATGAGAGAAAGAAAGCCCTGTTCACAAGGTTCTGGCAGAATCCCCTGTGAGAGGAGCAGATGGTGTTGTCTCCGTGACAAAGAGAAGGGCCAGAATTTGAAGGTGTTGATGGGACCCTCTCACATCAGAGTGCCCAGCATGACATCCACACACCACCTGAGGCTTGAATTATGGGGAGCTGACAAACGACAGCTGCACTTGGAAAGGAACACGTACTAGCACACCCCGTATATGTTCAGATGATGGCGGGAACCCGCGGTTCACTACGGGAGAAGCCACATTGTGATGGGAGCAGATGGGAAGCTTTCCAGCGCCCAGGTAGCCGTCTCAGAGTTTAGTGGGCCAGGAGGTCCTACTACCCGCACACTCTCCTTGATCTCTCTAGGGCCACATTCCTAGGACACCAAACATGTCAACCTAACATCATCTTCAGCCATCCAAGCACAGAAAAGGGCATTATCCTTGCCGACAAGGCACATGTCACATCTCACACTTGACTTTCAAGACCTTGAATGAATTTTGCTGAAATAAATGTTCACCTCTGGGTTCAGTCCAAGTGTGTGAGGTTTTGGTCCCTACAGTGCTTTTCTTTCTTTCTTTCTTTTAAAAGAATATTAAGAGTGGCTGAAAAGAGGGATTTAGAATGAATGGCATTATTCACCATGTCTCATAAAACGGGAGGGGTGGGTGCTATAGTATTTCTTAGGGAGATGGATTTAAGGAAAACGAGATTTAGAGCCCAGGGCCATTTATTGCAATGTGACATCAATGTCCTTGCGGGTCTCCCTGTTCAGGCCTGAGCAAGCAGGAGGTGGCCACCCGGGACTTCCCAGGACTGGTCCTCATTCTTGGCACTCGAGAGCTTGGGTTGTAGAAGAGCCCCCCCCACACCCCAATGATCTGTGAGTCCCAGTCACCCTAGTGGGGCGATGATAGCCCGGGGAACCTGCCAGGTCAGGGGACCACATTTCCTAGTAACCATCTTCACATGGTATCAACATCATGCCCTGGATCAAGTACGGAATCCAGGGGTGAGAGGCTGAGACAGGTGCCGTATGGCCCCAGGAGACCTTGGCAGCTCTAGATGGCTGTGGCCACTCAAGTGCACAACCGTGCAAGCCGCGTTTCTCCCTAGAACTGTGAGCTAGGGACCCCCTTTCTCCTCTAAGCTGTTTTTATCACAGCATCAGAAATGAAGCCAAGACACCCTGTAGGGTCAGATTCTGAATGGACAAGGATGAGGGGAGGTGCCCATCCCCAGACTGCTGTTCTCTAAGGACTTGCAGCAGAGGGCCAGCTGTCTGGCACCGGCACCGCTGAGCAAAGGTGTCTGCGGCACGCCTGCCCGGCTTTTCTGGTTAGCCCATGGGTAAACAGCGGCTCTCCTAGGCAGTCAGTTCATGCCCCTCCACCCCCACCCTCCCACGCCCGCCCGCCCGCAGCCAATAGGTCACCTTGCTCTCCAGTGAGGCAGCGCATCTGAAGTGTACACTCACCGTGGTGACCACTCTCTTCCTTGTACGACTTAACAAGTCACTGCCCATTTACATGCAGCTCCCGCCAAAGCTCCCAGGACCCCGCTGACACGGAGACCTGTGTCAGCCCGCGACAGCCTGGCTGTGTGGAGAATGATACCTTGTCCCTGTCAAAGCCAGCTATGCTTTCCTGTCCTTCATTCCTGTCCCACAGGGAAGCCACAGGTATTCACCTCCTCCTTCCTGTAGCTCCAGGGGCTCAGAGGGATGGGTGCAGTCCACAGCCCCTGGAGTTACTTGGGACAGGAAAG